AGTGACAGGACTCATCCTTTGGTTTTGGTCCTGTTCTCTTCTGTATCTGAGTTATGAGATCCAGCTTTCCTTCAAGAGTTTGTTTTGCATCTGCAGCTTTTTCAAACCCATTCCTAAATGTATTAATTGGCCCTTACACAAAGAAGATTCTCAATTCTTTGTGTTGAGGACATGCATAGGGAAGAGTGAGCTGGAGTGCGGTTTGTGTGTTTGATTTGCCCTCATTCAGATTTTTCCTCTTCAGGTTCTGGATGCACAGCCAGGGGTTGAAGAGATCAGTGCCCTGTGCCTGAGTGCACAGAGAGCTGCAGCAGTGCTGGTGTGGATGCAGAAACAGGTATTCCAGGGCAGGGTGGGGCCACTGGAACAGGCAGATTCATTTTGAGACACGATGGAGTTCAGCTGTGGCAGACTGTAGGTAGGAATATATTTTAAAACCAATGGGAAATGATACCAAGAATTGTTTAAAAAAGCAGCAAAACAGCTTCTAGCTACCTGATAGGTGCATGGCCAGTGTACAACTTGACAATAGTTATGATTTTCTTCTAAATAATGTAATGTCTGATTTCATTAATCAGCTGTCACAGCAAGGTTCTGAGAAAACTTATGGCATTGTTGCACATTTTCACAATTATTTGAACATGTGAAGGACACAGTCTTGTATGCAACTCTGAAGCATTTATTTAAGTTCAGGTGAGATGAAGGGAACTACATTACTGTTTTTTTCCTTTCAAGTGCACTTAAAATATACTATAAAACTGACATGAGCATTTTTCTTCCCAATGAAAATGACTTTAGGAAAAAAGTAAAAAAAATCAACTTTGATCAAGAAGAAATATTAACTAGAATTTTAAGGCTCAAAGTGAACATTTTTGTATTTGGAAATAATAAAGCAATTATCAATGAATCACTTCTCCAGTATTAACAGTATAAATATTTCAGTAGGTTTTGTAAAGATGTTTTTCAGAAACTAGCACTTTTAAACCTGATAGCGTTAAGAACACTGTTCTTAAATGAATCTGTATGAATCAGATTTATTGGTTGAAGTACCTAGAATTACTGTAAACAACTGAGGCTGGCAGTTGTTTACGTATCAGGATGAAAACTGCAAAAACTTGGGTTTTCCTTTTTGCAGTGTGTGGTCTCATCTCTTCTTGTTAGCAGATTTAAGGCATTCAGAAGGGTTGCTCCACCTTCCACATGGAAGCAGGGAACTCAATCCAGTGGTTTTAAGGCAAGAGGTCCAGTGGTATCCATGCAGACCCAGATGTAACACTGCTGCAGGCTGGGTTTGCATCATTCTGGACCAAAAGTTTCAAGCAGAAATAATACTTTCTGAAATCTAGAACTGCAACGCAAAAGATGTTATTTCTGCTCTAGTCTGCAATATATCGTGCCTCTTACTGGTTGTATGCAAAACCAGGACTAGGAGGAAATGGGGAATTAATAAACCTACAAGAATGTGAATCCCTAGACAAACTGATTGTAACTTTGGGAGGTTACAAAGCTGAACATTTGTATATCACACTTACACAATGCTCCACATTGTGGTGGTTTCATGGACTTGTGGAGGTTCATAACTAACAGTGACTTCAGTGGAAGGTCTAACATTAAGTTGTGTTGCTGCAGTAGCCTGCCCTGAATAAGAGAATGAAAAGCTGTGTTAGTGTGAAGTGGAACTGGTTATTCAGCAAAGACCAGCAATGAGCTGCCAGGTTGCTCAGGAAGGAGAAGAGTGGCTCTAGCACATCCTGGCACGGTGTGGCAACACAGCACTGTCCTACAAGGCCATCCCCCCTCGTCTTTTCCACCACTTAACAACACAAATGTAATTTTGGTGTCATTTTCTTGCAAGCTCTTCCTTGTGGTGAGCACATTGTTAAACAGCATTGACATCCATTCCCACGAGCTGCATTTACAGGCTCGCTGTACACACAGAGGAGAAATGTCCTGTAGCGGTTAGAGATCAACATGTAACAACTACAGACCATTTGGGATCAGAGCATGGGTTTGTTTTTATCAGAGCTACCAAAAGGAATTGCAGTTGTTGACTTCTGCATTTTGTAGGGAAATGCAAAGGGTTTGGATCTTTTTGCCAGGAAATATCGATCAGGAGAGAATATTATAATTCAGCTAACGCATTTTTGGTGATCTGCTTTCTGTAGTCTGACTCTCACTGAGATTTCTGGGGCCCCTTCTTGAATGACTACGGATTAATCCTTCTTACACAGATCTTTGGGAAAGGTCTTTCAGCTTCTTGTCCTCCCACTTCCAAAGAACTGAATGTGCATTTTCATTAACATTGTACCACTTAATTGTCAAAATATCAGCTCAGGTTATAATGATGTGAGTTTGGAGACACTCCACTGATATTTCAGAGAAAAGGTGAAGAGATATGGTTTGCATGTTTTCACTGAGCACTTTGTCTTTTAATTTGCATCGAGTTTTTGATGTCAGCAATGCCTGATGTTGTAAAATGTGAAAATCACTGCTGCTGTCAGTAATACTGATCAGTAGGATTCCAGCACTGGAACCAGATACTTGCCAGGGGTGAGTACTGGCATTCCTTGTTTCTTCACTCTATGAAGAACTCTTGTAGCTGGCCTTGCCTAATAGGTTAGATTCCAGCAAAAAGAAAAAGTTTTTTCTTGCTTGAATTCTTAATTTCTACTCAGCTGACAGGTAACTTAATGCAGGTAGGATATTTAGGCAGTGGAAAATAAAATAATTTAGGAAGCATAGAGTGATTTAAGTCTGAAGAAAGCTCAGGGTCCAGCCTGGTCCAACCCCTCACTCTCAGCCAGGCAAAGGGGCCACAGGGGACTTCCAAGCAGGCAACCTCTTGACTGGGCTTGGGGATGAATCCTGATGGCCAGGATACAACCTGGAATACTTGAGATCAAACCCTCCCTCTGATTTGTGAAATAATGGGAAGACCAGGGCTGTAGATGTGAGTTTGATCTTTTGTGTCTTAATTTCCTGCCTTTCCATTTCCCAATAGCACTGAATTGAGCCAGCAAAATCCAATAAAATTTCTTGGATTAATTTTTCCAAGAGTAGTAACTAATATTGGAAAATTGAAATTTTGGGGGTAGTTTTGGAATCGTTATGCCATCCTTAAAGCCAGCTGAAGGTAACTGGAGCAGACACACAGTACATCTTAAGTTGTGCATCTCATTGCTGAAGTCTCTTAACTCAATGCATCACTTTTAATAGCCATGAGTTTTATTTTGTTTGCCAGGGAAGAGATACAACATGGGCAACATCTGCTTTCCCATGGAAATACCTGCAGCTTTTTTAACTCTTAGGATAAGTTTGTGTTTTAGCTTTCTGGTATGTCCAGTCTGGGTTGGGTTGGCTGAGATTTCTAACAAAAATATGAGAGTTATAATCATGGTTTTGTTTATTGTGTTCACTCAGGTGGGAAGTAAAACAGCACAAGAAATTCACTTCCTCTAAATCCTGAGGGAATCAAGAGTTAGGAACTACAGAAGCTGTATTTGTGGGAAGCTCAGTGAAAAGGATTCTCTTTCTCAGTCTCTGGCTATATCCAATATTCTTTTGCTTTTAACATAACTCTTCGTTGTTTTCTTTGCATATGGAATTTTTTTAAGTTAAAATTTTAAATTTGAAGTAACCCAAGACACAGTCTAAAATGAAGGTATCTGTTAAATTTTTTTTTCATCTCTGTGGCTTTGATCCTGACTGTTGCATTCTGCAGCCACGTTGAAAGCAGTAAGAAAGAAGTGCTTGAAAACAATGTCTAGAGGAGAAATTTAGCAGTAATTTAAAGATGCAGGAAAACATCTTAAACATTCACAGATTCTAACAACTGGAGGTATTAATGTAACTATATAGATGCCAAATATATTTAAATCAATCATTAAGTGTTGTCACTTAACACCTTCTCTTGAGCTTTCATTTATTTGCCTTATTTATTATAACTGTTGGGGTTTTTTAGCTTTTTGCATATAACAGTTCCTTAATGTTATAACTTTTGTATATTAACAGAATTTTCTGTCTTCCTATTAGACACCACACTTGTGATTGCTTCCTAAATGGTGGTGAAAATTTACCAGGTCATAGTTCCTTTTCATTTAACTATAAAATGAGCTGGATGGTAGATGCACATTAAAAATAAGGAAAAAGAGACTGATATTTAAAAGCCATGAAGTGACAAGGTTTGGTATCCTCCAAAATCAAAGGATCACTAACATGGTAAAGAAAAAAGTATGAGGCACATCTGGAAAATAGTTTCAGCTAGGGGCTCAAGAGAGCATGCTTCAGACAAGAGGAATTCCCATTTGCTATGTGCCTTATGCACACACCCTGCACCTTATTTTATGAACCCTTACACCAAGAGTACACACACAGAGATATAAATATTTAGGATATACACCTGTACCTACATGAAATGCTATATTTATCTAGTCTGGAGTTCAAAAATTCTAGAATAGGCTGGCATAATAATCGTATATAAAAATGAGTTACATCTTTTCCATTTAACTTGTGCTTTGTGATTATTTGTCATGTTTTTAAAATTACATTCAAAGTCTTGTTGTTTACCCCTCATTCAGGATTGGTGTTACTGTAATGTCAGTGTTTTCACTGGCAGTAATCCAGCTAATCATCATCAATCCTTACCATGGCAGCTACAGTGCAGTAGCTCTAATTCAAGAAGTAAAAGTGGTATTGGCTTTTAGGTGCTGAAAACTATGTTTACTATGTAATTCTTAGCAAACTACACAGTACTGAATTTATTGCACAACACTCCATACCACAATTATCCTGCATTAAAATCATATGCAAAAGTCTTGTACCATATATTACTTGCAGCATTTGCAGCAGCAGAACACTTAATTACAAACGAGTTGCTTGTAAACCTTGAGCATCGTGAGTTGTCCCTCTTTTTTTTATTATTAGTATTATTATTATTATTATTATTATTATTATTATTATTATTATTATTATTATTATTATTATTATTATTATTATTATTATTATTATTATTATTATTATTATTATTATTATTATTTAGTTTTTTCACAGTTCTAAGTATCTCCGCAGGTGCAACTGGAACGAGTGTTTGTTTTTCAAAGTTCTTCACTCTCCACCAACTTTTGGGTTGGGGATGAAAACAGCATGGGGCTCTCAGGAGCTGGATAGGCAGAGAAGATGTCGAGTCCTTGGCTGAGGTTTGTGTAGCGGCTGCCACCGGGACGGAGCTTGAGTGCTTGTGGAATTTGACGGTGCCACTGAGCTGCAGCGACAGAAACACAGTGAGCTGTATAAACCTCCAGTTCAGGTCACAAAGAAACAGTAGAAATCATTACACACCCCTGGAAAGTTGCTTCCAACATCCCTGAGGAGGGCACAGCATTGTTCTTTCTGGGTTAGGGTCTCTGCTCTTTCAAATATTATCATTGGCATTGTTTGTATGTTCAGTAATTCGATTGAAGGCTACAGGTAAAATTTTTGTCCCTGTTCAATTCAATGGCAATGTTTGCATGGATTTCACAAAGTCCAAAATTGAATGATTGAATCTTTGGAGCTTCCTCTAAAGCCTTTGTAATCAAAACTAAAAACGTACATGAACAGAGATGAACAAAGTGGCCAGGGCTCTGATTCTGTACTGCTTCATCCTCTGGATGGCTTTTCTTCAAGGAAGTGATTACAATTTTTATTGCCATGCAGTGGTTACAACTACTCACATGTTATCTAGATTTTTTTAAAATACTGAAAGAAATTTAATCCAAAGACATATTCAGTAATTTCAAAGTAGCATTCTACATGTTCCTATAGGAACAAATACTGCTAAAATTTTGTAAAAATACTATATTACATAATGCCTAGTAGTAGTTATCTCTAAAACACTTCAGACAAGGGAAAATTATATTATCTTTCCCAGTGTTTATCTCTATGGGTCTGCACCCAAATTAGATAGACATCTGTCTATAAAATAAAAGGGTATGAAAATGGAAGTCAAGCTCAGGCTCCAATGCCCTGAGTATCTTAATTGGGAGACAACAATCTACATGTTAAGCGTTGACAGGAAATTTCTTTCCATGCTGAATTTTGACCCTATCTGGAAGTATTTTAAAAAGAGCCTCCTTTTTTCTTGCAGTGCCCAATTTGTTTCTACTTGAACTCATTATTTACTCATTATTGTTTTACTTTGCACCCAGAATTGCAGATATCAGATCACACCTTCAACCTCTCGACCCCACCCATTCAAAACAGCACAAAATAAAATTACTCCTGTCACTCACTTTGGGGTGTGAGTTGCATATCCTAGAAAATGTGGTTGGAATTGGGGAGCATTTCCTGAACTCTGTAGTTTTCCTGTTTTTGCCTTGAATCCTTCATTTGAAAATTTATGTCTTTCAACATTTAGATACCTAAAGAATTTTTAAATTTTGTTTCACCTTTCTTAAATCAGCCTCTCCCTAGCCCTCTCTTGAACCTTCCATCACTATTGCCCAATCACCACGAGGTGGCAGAAGGCTGACAGAGATGCACTGGTGACTTACTTCTGATAATTAGGTGGGGTTTAAAAAACAAAATAGAAATATGAGTTTGAAAACATGAGCTTTTTCTTTTTGTTTTTTTTTCCTTTAAGGGTCTGGTTCTAATCCAACCAGTTTGTGGAATATATATATATATATAAATTCAGTTTGTGGAACGTGCTTTCCGTTTCATTATGCTGCTTAAGTGATCAAAATACACTGCTTTTTCCATTCCACCTTGAAGAGATAACAATTAAATGATGTGCTGTAGTTCTTGAAGAGGGCTGGGGCCTTTTGAATCCTAGACAAATGTATTGGATGTAAAGTAGCCCCCATCAGTTAGGCTTGGTTTGCAACCCCTGTGCTCTGTGGGAGAAGGGCTCTGCTTTCTTGTGTGCAATTTATTGTTAAATAAATTCGTAATTACTCTGTCGGGTCAGGGCTGTAGCACAGACACATCAGAGGCAGGAGAGTTAAGGTTCAACTTGAAAATACATGCTTGTGTGTCTAGGGATTCTGGGAGGTGGAAAATGGGAGTAGAGGATATTGTGTGAAACTCCTGCTTTGGATTTTTGTCCTTACTCTCCTTTACCCTGACACAGCAGAGCTCCTTGGCCGTTTAGCTGTATCATTAGATCTCTTCTGGGGCCTTATTGAGCTGTGGCCATGCTGTGGCTGGTTTCTAATCCCTGCAAAACCCAGACTAAGAGTGGCCTTGTTTTCTTTCCCAGCCAATACCTACCGTATATGTCGAGTCGAGCAGTACAGGAGACGATGCCAGCTTCGTTCTTTGCAGACAAGGTGTACCAGCCAGCATCTGCTTTCTTGGCAGGCTGGATCAGGAGGCAGACATACCCTGTTGTATCTTGATGCATGCTGGAAAACAAGTGTTTGGGAGTTAACATTTCTGTAGAGCACATCAGCTTTCAGATTTTAAAATACATGTATGAAATACAAATGGATATGTTGTCATCTCTAGTCACAAGGAGGTAGCAGTGTGTAGTCAATAGATTTGCTTTCATACAGCCTCAAACAAGGATGAGGAAATCTCAGATCTGTTCTGGCTCCTCTGTTGTGCACAGCCATGGTGTGACTGTGGGAGCTGAATTGCTACTCTGTATATCTTAATATTAGCATGATTTGTTGAATGCTAACGAGCTAAACCTGCTGCACAATCATTCTGTATTCTTTGCTGGTTCAGAAGCTGGAACAAGAACATTACTAAATACCAGGAGCACTTGTACAAAGTTGTGATATTTTTCACAACAGCAACCAGAGCCAGTGGGGAAACTTTCTTGGGGCACCCTTGTCTATGAGAAAATGACCAAGTAGGAAAATCAGAAAGATTTGTTTAGCCAACACACTAAAAGAAACCTGCTTCATTGTTCCCTCCACTTCCTTTGCTCTCCAGTGATCTAAAACTGTGGCTGCAATTTCCAGGAAAAACTTTTCAGCACGATACAACAGAACGGAGACTCCTCTGCTCTCTAGGCTGAGGCCGGTCCTTTTTATCAATGCAAGTATTTCTCTCATTATAAAGGAAGAGCTGTGAGATGAGCACTTCAGAACACTTGAAGTTCCAGGACATTCTGAAATTTGAGATTTTGTTTCTGTAGGAATTGGGAGGATACCACGAACATGCAGGACAAGAGGACATTTTGTGCTTCCAGCAGCTCTAACAAAAAAGGGAGCATTTACCCTTTGTTGAGATACAAAAACCTCTCTTGGCTTCAGGCAGGAAGGCAGTGAGGCAGGATAGGGACAAACAGGGATGATGCTTCCTGTGGGTCTGTCCAGAGCCACTGGAAGCCTTTGGGGTTTCTGGTCTCAACTGGCTGAAACAGCAGAGCTGTCCCAACCCCAGAGCTTGCTCCTGGTACCCTGAGGTGTGGGAGGTTTCCCTTAGACATTCCCCTGCTGAGCTGAAGCAAAAATTTGTTTTCTAACCTTTTGTGAAACAACTGGAAGTATGGCATTTTAGGACAGTTGTTAATTTTCCTGTAACTACAGTGTATAACCACAATCCCTATGAAATGGGAACATCTACATGGTGTCATCCATGAGTTTGCTAATGGCAGACTCTATCCCCTCCTGCAGGTTACCTATAGAGAAATTAAACAGGACTGGGCCCAAACCATATAGACTGTAGAGGGTCAGAGTTAATTGTGGTTTTTGGAGAGGGACAGCAGTCTCAGTGTGTTTCAGTTTCACTGAAAGAGTTTTCTAAGAGTTGATTGGTGTCCATCCCTAAGAGGTGCTGTGCAGAGGCAGCTTTCTGTACTGACAGCCTGTAGCTATGTGTGGGAAGAGTGATACTTCTTGAAGCTGATCTCAAAGATCCAGTGACTGCACTGAGCTGTTAGTTGGAACCAAGTTTAAAAAATACTAGAGATCAGATATATGCTGAAGTAGAAATCTTAAAAAAAAAAACCAAAACAAACAATTTATCATTAGTTACAGCCAGGCACATTATTTCATCAGCTGTTTTTTGTGGAAGTTAAAAAATAGTGATGTGTTTGACTGCAAGAGATGAACTGGAACCTTGTATTTTGTAAGCATGGATCAAAGTCTTTGCCTCTGTTTGTGACCAACTTGCTTAAGTTTCTCTGTCTGACATGATAAACTCTCTATTATCCCATGCTTTGGGGCACTGAAGCTGTTCTGAGTTTGAATTCATACCTTGTTGGAGCTAAACTGGGAAAAACCAGAGAGAATAAGGTGCTGCCCTGCATTAAAATACCCTCTCAGAGTGTGTTTGAGAAGGAGATTCATGAATTCTGTCTGGCCTGTGGTCCACAGGCTCTGTCCCCGCTCTCTGAGGCAGAAACAGCCATTGCTCACCCCTCAGGGAAGCAAGATTTATACAGCTTTATGGGGTGAAAGGAGTTGTTACAAAGCACCGGCATCTGTACTTATCACAGAGGTTTTCATGGGAGCAGCTGGTCCAGCCACAAGAAGCTTCAGGCGTGGATGTCATGGTACAGTACCTCATCCTCTCTCTGTTTGATGGGATGGTCTCATTATCTTTCTTCCAGTAAAATATGGGAGGAGGCATTCCCACAACTCTGCACTCTAATCTGACAGGGTAGCCTTCTGGAACACCACAGTTCTGAAGCTTCTCCAGAAACATGGGGGCTCTTTTTACTTCCTTTGCTGGAAAAAAAAGAGATATTTTATTCTTTGTTTCTCTTTGGGTAGCATGGAAGAACACGATGAAAGTTACTCTTGTGATACCAAAGTAGGTTGTGAGTTTTTAGTGGGGTGTTGGAAGGGAAGTGAAATGCCACGATATAACCTCTGTAAGGGAACATAAAGTAAATAACAGGCAGAACTGTAGTTCATAAAACAATATATGCATGTCTAATGGGTCTAAACATACTGCCATTGCAGGAAATTAATGCCACATCTATGAATTTCAATATCTCCCTTACTTTAAGGCTTTATTAAAGAGCAGTATTCAGATTAAATTTTTCTACTTAGAAACATTTTTAAACCAATAAACTTTGGGCTGAGATCTGGAATACCTTCACATATATATGAGTTCAAATCCTGAGGATTTTCTGGGAAGAAAGTTAAGAATGTCCTTTTGCCCAGATAAGAGAGAAAGGATGATAATGAGGCAGAATTCTTATGGCACTCTCTTAGTAACAGGAGTGCACTCATCTGAGCACCAGGTGCATTTCCCTCCATCATCTGAGGAGGAATATATATATATATATATAAATATAAATTACATATCTGTATCTACAGCTGTTGGATTCTCCTACTCTCAGTGCATTATTTATCTATACTTGTCTGTAGGGAAACAATGCAAGGTCAGTTTGAAGAAATGCATACAGATAACTTTATCATTGAAATTAGTTTTTCAGTGCTTCTCACCTACAACAGTGAGCTCCAGACTAAATGAATTTTGTCCTGTTTTGTTGGTGGCAAGGCAAGTGTAAGTTCCAGCATCACTTTGGGAGAGAGGATCGATGAGCAGAGAGTGCACTCCAGTCTCCCTGACCAGCATCTTGTGTCTGCCATCTGGGAGCACAGGTTTGCCATTCAGCAGCCACGTCAGGTCTGGAGTTGGTAACCCGCTCACCTGAGAGACAGGGAAACAGCTCGAGACAAATGTCCAACCGACAGAGAGAAGTTAGCAAATTCAGAGCTAAGCCTTTTCACAAATGCCAGCTGAATCATGTCAAAATCTAGACCAGAATGGTGGTTCGTTTTTTAAAAATTATTTCTGTTTTTGTTTCTCTGCTGACTGCTTTCAAAAGGGAGAAAACCAGAAAACAACCAACAAAAAGATTAAAAAATATATTAAAAATCTACATTTTTCTTAGTCAGAAAGGAAGAAACTTAGTTTGAAATATGAAATTAGAATATGAGATTCACAAAAGACTCTTAATAATCTGCTAGTTTTTCCTTTTTTTGATGCTGAATATAAATCAAATTGCTCGATCTAAAATCCTGCAGAATTTAACAGATGAAGAAAAAGTTCTATACAAATTACTTTGTATTTTGTAAAATTTGATGAAGAATGATACAACTCTTCATAGCTGTTGAACTTGCATGCTTTAGAACACTACAAATTAAGTATTTTTTGGTAGATTAGACCGTATTGTAGTATTAAAAACCTTTTCAATAGGGAGCAATACTTACTCATGTCTAAAATACTGCTTTCCACATAGCATTTTACAAAGCAGAGAAAGAGGGAAGTGGGACTTGCTCTCCCCAGGTCTGTGCAATGCCAGACATGCTTGAAGGCTTCCCAAGCTCTGCCAGGAGAGCAGAGCTAGGAATAACCAAATTCTTTGGCATGATCCTCGTAAACTCTGCATCATAAATTAATTGGTAATGAGTCTTGCTCATCTTCAGGGCACTGACTTGTGCCTCAGAGCCTCTACCCTTCTTCAGGGTAGGGAGGTCAGTGGCAGCGCTGTCACCTTTGCTGCGCTGCAGGGACGTGGAGGGGCTAGCAGAAAATGTTGGACAGATGATTCTCTTAAAGGTGTTCAGTAACAGGATGTTCACTCTGTGTACTCTAACCTCTGACAGCTCTTTCATGCCAGGATTTCAATCTGTAAATGAGGATGTTTCTGCCTCTGTGCCTGCTGGGGAAGCATCAAATGAGCTGGGCTCAGTTCCCTCTTTTCAGGGAGTGCTAATCTTCAGTAATTCAGTCCAATACAATGGGGACATTTGTTTGAACACAAAGCAACGTGCTGAATCCTCTCTTTCTCACGGTTTTGTGCTGTTCTGGATTATGTTCAAGAATCTGATAATGGAGCAGAACTTCTGGAGTTCATACTGGTAAAGGACACAGTGAACATATCTAGTAATTTGAACAATCTTGTAAGTGAGCATTCTGTTTCTGGGTTGTGTTTTCTGTGTTCTTCATCTTCGTATTGTTTTGAACAATATTTGCTCAAAAGAAATCCCTGGAATCATCTCAAGGACAATGGCATTAAGAAATAGTTTTTAAAATGAAGCATTTGAACTTGAATGGAAGATGCTCATGGATGCAACAGAGAACATGAAAACACACAGCACTACCTGTAGAGAGGTAGGGAAAGTGAGAGTGAGCACAGGAAGCAGTTCATACCTTACAGTCCAACCTACAGAGCCGCCCTTCGTGTGCCACCATGTCACCTGGAGCCTGGAGGAAGTATGGCCTGAAAAAGCGTTCTTGAACTGCCTCTTTGTCTCCTTCTGGCACCCGGGGTCGTGTTCTGCAACACAAAAATCACATGTGTGTGTTTGCAAGTCAATTTTTTTTCTCCTAATGCTTAAGGAAAAAAAAAAAAAGGAAGAAATTGAGGAAAAGGATGGAGAGATTGCTTGAGTTACATAAAAGGGCAGAAAGAAATGGGCTGATTGTCATTTAATTCTTGCATATTTTCCATTTAGAAAGATTATCAAATTAACTATATAATGTAGTATCCTTAGATTCCCAAGCTGGCCTCTGCTTCTTTTTGCTTTTTTTGGCTGAATTTCATTTTGCTAATCCATCCCTTTAGCTCCACTACAAGAAGTAAATGAAATCCTACTTAAACTTCCCTGTATTTGAGGATGACCTTCAAAAACATAGAAGTGACCTGCTGGGAGGGAACTGCTGCTGTTATTTCCATTTTATGATTGAGAACTGAAGTTCAATGAATGCAGTGGTTATTTTGGATGCCTTCATTAAAAGCATAAAGAAGGTCTGCAGGACTTTTTGACTTTTTTCTTTCACCTGTGAGGCTGAGTTGTTGATATTCGTCCCCGAAAAGGGACACTCTGAACCATCAGGTGTCCCGAGCAACTGATCCTCCCCTGCAATTCACAATGGAAACAGAATTAATAGTTGGTTAATGGCTTATTTCATTTTAAAGTAGAAACATTGAACACTTACAGTGCATTAGGATTTATTTTTATAAAGTAGCTGAACCATAGTGAGAATACCACTTCCCCAAAGCAAATGCTATTATGTTATATATGTTATTATATATGTTATTGTAATGTTAGCCTGCAGTTGAGGCAGTAGGTTCTCAAACTCCTCCAGGCTGTGGCAATGCATTTAGCAGTGGTGCCTGTCCCTGCTTATTTATTCATGCCACAGGTACTGCTGCTACCTTTGTGCTGGCCTACTTCAAAATGCAGCCATATAGAAACTGAAAAGAAGAATCTTCTAAAAAAAGAGAAGCATTTAAGCTGGAAAAAGTTGCCTGATGAATGTACTTGTAGCTAGCACATGGGGTCAAGGAGAATGGTGTAAGGGAGTGGGACTGTTTGCAGATCTGCACCTTTGCATCCTGGATAAAGAATATATTTGTATTTGGTAACAGTTCCAAATTTGGTGTAACTATTTGTTTGTCCCTGCTCTATTCTTTCTGCCTGAAACATCATGTCTGTCTTGTCAGCACGTCTCAAAAGGTACCCATCAGCAGCTGGGAGTGGGAGGGAGATAGGGCATGAGTTACCAACATGAAAAAATGTCCTTAGTGCTTTTCACTGTCTGTATAACAGGGGAGTAGTTTCATCAGTCATCATCATGGTTTCCTCTCCTATGCTCTGAAGCACCTGATTTGTGATAATAATCACCACTTGATGACCAAGTATGTGGCCTAATCTGTGTTCCTATGAACATATATTAGAAAAAGATGAAACAAGCATTTTTGTAAAAGAAAATAAAACACTTTACTTGGGGGTTTGCAGCCATGATCGTGTAGTTGCCATCATCATCATTAGTAGCAGCTTCAATGTATAAAGAACATGTTCCATCTTCCTCTCTGTTCATTTTGAAATGGGAGTTTTTCTTTGAAATCTGCTTTCCATCCTTGAACCAGTAGACCTGTAGTGATCAGACACATCCCCATGACGTAACTGTGACTAGCAAAATAACAAAAGTTGAGAGATAGCTAATAAAATTTTAGAATATTATAAAGTTCACAGATCAGTTATAATAACAGGATGTTTCCAGGTTGAACTCGGGCAGCTGCATATCATAGCTGGGCCTGTCAGGTTGTCTTTTCTTGGCTCTAGGCATGTTTCTGGTTAGATCAGTTCTCATCTTTCTGGAAAGTTCTGGGGGCTGTGCAGTTCTGCATCTGCTGGAGCCAGGTAGTTGGACCTGAAGGCCTGATGCATGCTCAGGAGCAGATACTGTTATTTTAGAAATGATTCATTTGGGAGCTCTCTCCACAGAGCCACGTGCTTGGGAGGGATGTACAGAAACTAGTGTGGGGTTGGGTTTTATTCCTTTACCAGTTGCAGTGAGAGTGACATACCTTGGGAACGGGTATTCCAACTATTTTACAGGTGAATGTGATAGGAGATCCTTCCATTACCCGAAAATGCTTGAGTCTCTTATCAAAGATGGGAGCTATGTATTTGCCTGTAGGGATTTCCTCGTGTTGGACTTCATCATCTGATTCATCCACCGGTGTCCGCTCAAGGCGAAATTCGATTTCATTCATCAGCCTCTGCTCAAAGCTTGAAATCCTGTATTCCTGCAGGGTGAGAGGGGCACAGGTCTCAGCAAGACCACTCCTATCCTGGGCTATTTGCAGCCACTTTTAGACTAATTCTACAACAAGCAAAAATAAAAAAGCCTAAGTAAACCTAGGGCATCCTGAAACAGTCTGAATTTGGTTTGCAGGCACGGATTAGGTATCGGGGGTCTGCACAGTGTAATGATGCTGAGTTTTTTCACAGGCAGCAAAAGAAATCAAACATGTAATTCCTCTAAGTCCCTGTCAAAAAAAAAATTATACTCTTGCATGCTGTTGATCAAAAGAAATCACTAAAACACATCAAATTTTTGGGGATTTTGTGTTCAAATATTAGTCACCTGCTAGTTATAGAAATGAATGCTGTATATTGTAGTTCATAAGTAAGTAAGGGGAACTATACCTACTAAAAGAGAAAATTAGGAAGAAAGGGAAATATTTTCAGAATAATTAACTTCAGGTTAAACTTGGACAGATTTCTTGCTGAGGTGTAACTGAGAATGCAAAATATATTACATTGTAATTCTTAGAAGATGAAACAGATTATGCAATAAAACCAGCATATTCCTACATAAATGAACATTTCTAGTTTGATGTGATTATGAACTTTCTCCTGATCCCCTGGATTCAATTAGAAATATCAATTAGCTGTTTTGCATGAGGAAATCTCCTGTCTAGACCAGGAGGCATTTGATCAAATGTCTCTTGCTGTGACTTGTGAAGCCTCAGACCAAGAGCCCTACAGCTACACTTGGATGCACTTCTCAGGTAGCTCTTGAGCTCCTTGCTCAAGTCATTACAAAACTGCCTTTGCTGGGGGAAATCTAGTATTACCTGTAAAAGAAAAATCAGTTTTCCCAGAGCTGGATTTGTGCATGTTTTAAGCCCAGAGTTTGCATTCCTGCTTCTATTGAAAATGGAATTTTAAAAACCAGCAAGTAGTAAATAAGGGTGTAGCCAATCCTTAGATATATTCAATTTGCTGAAAAAAACAAGGTTCAGAAAATGCATCTTGTCTGAAATCTTATAGAATGTTAATTAAAGGACCAGCAGATATCCCAAAATGCTGGTGATTACATCCATGATCATTTAGCCATTCCATTTTACTGCTGATTATGCCTTTGACCAACAGTTTCCAGGGATCAGAGAGAAAAGATGGAGAGGCTGCAAAAAATTTTAGCAGACAAACTCTTCTGCTTTCTTCAGGAGACCAAGGAGACAGCAGTGGCCAAAAGTTTAGACATTACAGCAGAGTTTTGAGGAGACAGGGATTTGTCAGACTTGGGGGTGAGAGGAGGAAAATGTGGCAGCCACAAAGTAGAAAAAGCTGGAAATCGCTGTGGTGGGATAAACAGCCTTGGCAATATCTTATTTTGGAACTGGAGTGGTAGATGTTGTGTGTTTTCATCTAAAATGTCTGTGCTGGGGAGGTTGCTTGAAGGTTAGCTGTGGTAAGAAAGGAATTTGGTGGCTGAAGCTGCTCCTCCTTGCACTGGTGCCTTGTTCTCAGGTGCTGCGGGGCTGTTTGTTCCATGCAGCTTCAGAGCAGCGCGGAGCTGCAGCATTCTGGGAGCTCTCACAGGGAGCTGAGGGTGCTGAGTGCCCCCTCCAAGATCCCTTCCTTACCTTTGTCACCTTCCCCTGCTCTGACAGGGCCACTCTGCTCTCTGCCACTGCCCTGCTGTGCCAAGCAGAGCTCTCAGCTGGCTGTTCTGTCCCAGGGTGAGACGTGCCAGAGGCTGGGAGCCAGGTGCCAACCACCTCCCCAGGGGCTGGGCAGCACCAAACAGCCTGCTAGGGTTTCATCTCCTTCAGCTTTTCTTCTCCCAGGTCTCAGCAAATTGCTTTATAGATCAAATTCCCGTCTCATTAAAGCCAGTGTAAAGCTGGAGTTTCTCTGATTCCTCACCAACCAAGCGGATCATTTTCCCTTGTGGGTGGCAAGAACTGGTTCTGGTGTTCCAAGGGAAAACTAAGCCATCAGTGTTTTACCCTTGATACTGAGAACAGGCCTGTGTCTTTTTTAGGAAGGCAGAATCCTGTAAGAATCAGGGAGTGGCTGCTGTAGCAGAGGGAAGTAATGGGGCTAGAAAGGCATGAAGGCATCGCCATTACACTTTCAGGGCATCACGTTAATGTGGAAGGTGTTGACTGCAGAACAAAATGCTGCAGAACAGAGTTAAATTTTTAAATATTGCAAGCTGATGGCACCGTCCATTATTGTTTATAGACAGCTGAGTTTAGGCAGCAGTTTTTCATATGGATTTTTTTTTCTAGAATCATTGCTGTCCAAAAGAAGTCATGGTATGCTGCAAGAAATTTAAAGCATGGCCATGATGGCCTACAGATGAAATCAAATAATGCTGATAGAGGCAATTAGCATCTCTTTTTTCCTCTACTCCAAAACTGTCTTAAGTGATCTAACCAACTAACATAAATAAAATGTAGAGCAATCATTTTCAAGTTGTATGTAACCAAATTAACCTTGCATCTGCTTTAGGCCCTAAGGAGTTTTCTGTGAACACAGTGGATCATTTTCTTTCCTGGCATGATGTGCTGAGGATATTAACTTCCTACAAATTACTCCGTTAAGAAATATGGGCACTTCTTCCTTTTCAAATGTCTGCTTGCAGAAGAAAGTACAGCAGAGGAAGGAATTAATTTCATGGGACCCTTTGAAGTTAATCATGGAGGAGTTTTCTCCCACGTTTCTTTGCATGTGACCCTGGACGTGTGTGCACACACACACACAGAGGTATAAAAGTAGAATACTTTTAAAATACATGTTAAATTAGAAAACATTGAAGTCAGGGTTCCCACAGCCCCTGTTTTCCTGTGTGTTGCCCTCATACTTTGCTTTTCTAAACCTGTTCTGTGTGCATATACGTGCTTGTGTAAATTTACGACCAAACCAACAAGACCAAGTGAACTTTCCTGTGAAAATTTGAATGCCAAAATTCAGAGGCCAAAGAAAGAACAGAAATCTCTGAAATAAGTGAGAATACACTTCTGTATGCAGAGTATAGTCTTGGAGGTTTCTGCTTGTTTGGTGGGGTTTTATTTTAGGATTAGCAAGAGCAGAAAGGAGTTGTTAATTCGGCTTTCTGAAGAACAGTTTTTATCAGAGAAGCCATAAGCCTGTTTCTGAATGTGATTACAAAAGTGGTGTAGGGCAAAGTGTTGTTGTTGTGATTCAGACAAGTATTTGGTAAAGTGTCACACAAAGAACAAGCCCTTGTAGCCATGGGGTACAATGTTAAAACTAGGCTGCAGTTCAGCTTACTGAGGAGACCGAGGGAAAGAGTACAAAGGTTCAAGCCCTGGTTTGGAATAAAAAAATGTAGCATTGCAGCTCCTTTTTTGGCAGCTTTCCTAGAACATGAAACTTTCACAGGCTGTAATTCGCACACTTGTTCAATACAGTAGCCAGATATTTAAATTATGATATCTACCAGCTACAAATTCAAGCTCCAGTTCAGTGGTGTGGTGCTCTGTACAAAGTATAATGTATATAATGCATCTGTAGTTGTATATATTTATCTCTATAGGCTGGGTAGATTGCAGCTTTGGAAACCTAGCTATTTCTCCTACCTCTAATGCACATTGTTTAGTGTGCACAATGTGCAAGAGGGGAGTAGGCAGCAGTGCTTGTGTTAATATTGTCACAGTATAGTTTGAAGGATAAAACACTTGAAACTGGCCAAAGCAAAGCCAGGACACATACTGAATATGTATCTGGAGTGGTTTTGTACTGTTCTAGTGGAACTCTGTGGCAGATGGAGAAGTGCAATGCAGCTTTCCTTCTGCTTGCCTTTGCTCTGCCTTGGCAATGTTGTTGTAGGCTGCTGGTGGGTGGCTGTACTTTGTCCTGAACAACAAACAAAATCATCTCTCAATGCCAATCTCGCTGAAGGAAAGGGTTCACATCATTTTGTCTCTGTGATGGGTCTGTTTGGCTCCATCACCATCATTTTTCACAATCTGAGAGCACAGCACCCTTCAGGGCAGGGCTGTGGACTGCATTTTACCTGTGGGAAATTGAAGCCTAAAGAAGCTGAAGGACCTGTTAAGGTAACACAAAAAAATCTGTGACAGAGCAGAGAGCTGAATCATGGTCTCCTAGATCTTGTGGAATAATTTAACTCCTGGGCCTTTCTGCTACCTGTGAACATTTTTGGCAAAAAGGAGGAATTGCATAGAGTGCAGTAATTCCTGTTAGGTTCTAAGCACCTTTATGTAAAAATATGAGTTCTAAAATCCTGCATCTGTTGTAGTTCAAATCTATCTTGGTCAGGATTCGGATCTCAGTGGATATACATACTAGCAGTTAGTAGAAGCTTGTAGAATCAAAATAATCTCATGTTAGCATAGTAACTCAGGGAAATTACCACAAACAGAAAGGCTAGGGGAGCTCTAGTCAAATGTTGATTCTCATGTACTATATAAAAACAATTCTGTTGCCAACTTAATGCCAACGCTAGACAAATTTCCCAATTTAATCCCAGTTTTGTAACTTTTACTAGATTGCCTTTTTGGCAGAATTATTCTAAATCCATGTAACAGTTTATCTAAGAAAATGGCATGTATTGCATCTCAGCATCTGTTTCCAAGCTGTAGCACTCCTTAGCTTCGCAGTCTAATCTTGGCTATTCTGGCTGAAATCTCCTGATTAGTTTGGATTCTCTCTCCTCTCCCTGTTCCACTCTCAGCAGTGGGAATCCAAAAGCCGCAGATCCAATGCACAGGCTTTTCTCCACTTGCCATGCCCTATGAAGAGGTAGCACTGGGGTGATATATGTCCTGCAGATGAATTATATGGCATGAATCTCATGCTTACCCACACACAAACCCACAAAGAGCCTAGCAAGGCATTGTCTAGTCAGACAATATTCAAAATACAGTTCAGAGTGATTAAGCAAGAAGGAGGAGAAAGCAAATGGAGTTGCCATCTCCAATTCCCACAGACTTTGTAGCTGCAGTGAGCTTGTGCAAGCATGAAGAGCTCAGCTTCCCTCTCCAATGTGAGCTCTGCAAGCCAGGATCCCTACCATGAAAACCTGTCTGTACTTTCCTATTGATTAGATCTAGGTCTTGAGCCACAAGCGGTTGTTCCACTGCTCATTGCCACAAGTACAGGGAGTTTCTACATATTAATATCAATTTGTCTTGGTCAGATTCTTAAATCTCTGTTCATTTTTAGTACAGAGCAGACAAGTTTCCATGGGGAGCCTTTGTGGTCAAATTCCCATCCTGAGTCTAAAATTGCCTACATTTGCTGACCTTTGAGAGATGATGTGAAGCTTGATTTTGAGCCAGATTTTTGGAGTGATTGAATGAAGTGTAATTTCTGTGCCCTGGGAACAGGGTTCTGGGTGATTTGTGGGGGCTCAATATGGGAACTGCAAGGAGATGGTTCTGTGGGATCAGTGTTGAGGTTTTACTGGTGTCAGGGCCTGTGTGATGAATTGGGATCTGCACATGGCTTTGGCTTTTAGTGATCTAAAAGCTTTTGGACAAACCCTGCATCTCTTCTGCTCTGAAATTTTTTATCAAGCCTTCTCTAGCAAAGGTAAAGAATATTCATGTGAGGGCTGTGCATCATTTTCTAAACAGCTGTAGGTTTTGTCTTTGTCCTAAAAATAAGGCTGCTATCTGTGTCTTACATAAGGCACAACCAGTCAGCACTGCCACATGATATTCTTCATAGTAAATGACACAGATATTTGAGCATGGTTTTTAGTTCTGATAACCAAAATGTATAAACCAGGCCCTAAGTATTTAACTCTGCTTTCCTTTATTAATGCATGGCTGATTCATTTAGTTTTATTACTGTACAGGATTTTGAGGTTTAATTACCTCATTTTTCTCTTTTATATTATTTGTTTAACAAAATGTTGGGGAGATAATACCATTAATTTCTAAGTTTTGCCTGTAAAGGTGAATTTCTCTGTTAACAGAGGAAATATTTATCAATGTATTTATATTAGTGAAGCCCATGGATGCTCTCAAATACCAGGTGAAAATAATTAGTTTCCATTTACACATTTCTATTTTTCCATTTGCCAAAGTCTCCTTCTTTCCTTTTCTCCCCACACATTTTGTTTCTACATGACACATTCTGACTGAGCATTACTGAGATATTTTACTTGAAAGTCCCAATGGACTAGACTGGCAGATTTTGGGAAGTGGAGATGGAAATTCTTCCATCAAATGCTGCAGTTACCTGACACTCACTGAGGTTATGAGACTTGGATGCTTGGTCTCACAGCATTTCAATCTCAGTCTCCAAGAGAAAACGCCAAGCTTTGTGCCAATAAAACATTCTGGGGGTGGAGAGGAGTGCATGGGGATGTTCTTTGTCCTTCTTGTCCTCTTTCACTTTGCAGAAATACTAAAACATCCACTACAGCAAGGACAAGAATGCAGGTGGTTTTTTATCCTCATTTCTGAGCAGTAGAGTGATTCTCTTTTTATTTCTCTGTTCCTTTTCTCCATCACAAGCTGGAAGAAAAAATTCTAACAGCTTCCTCAGAGGAACCCTCATCATTGAGCTGAAATGCTCTTTGAAATATCCTGCTAATTGAGGGCCTGTTCTTGGTGCCTGAGAGTCTAAAGTTTTATTCTTGGAGCTGGAGAAGGTGTCATTCTACCACCTAGTTAGCTTTCTAGCTTTTCTAGCTCAGGTCACCTGTTACAGAAGCTGTTCTGAAAGGTGGAATTTCCAGATTTTTCTCCTGCTGTTAAAGAATGCTTAATTATTTGAGCAACCTGGGACAGCACCAATGCCACACGTACCCACTGGCAAGGAATGAAGCCTGTCCTTATGGGAATTCAGAGTTATGAATTCAATTGTCTTCAAGCCAAGGAAGACACTGAGTCAAGTCTCCTCTATCCTGGGATTTGTCCTAACATCTTCCTGTGATTGCACAAAGCCATTAGGGCACCCTTTGTTTGAAAGAACTGAGCAAATCTGACTGAAAATGTTTGGGTGTAACTGAATCACATTTTTTTCCAGCACTCCTAATTGTGATGAAATTTCACCTGGCACTTGAGCATGCCACCATCTGCAGAAGTGACAGGTATGATGTTTTTTTTCTGGTAAAAATGACAGCTTGTTATTGCATGTACTTGATCAAAGTTGCAGTTAGAATCTTGGCGAAGTCGTATTTGTATTTCTGTCAGCACCTCCTGGTCATCATAGCTGTAGAAGCCCAGAGACTTATCTGTTCTGTCTCATGCAGCATCAGCAAAATTCCCAGCTATGCTCTGATCCTGGATTTTTCTATTGTTGGTGATGAATGATGTACTGGATGAAGCAGAAGGAGTACATCTGGATTATCAGATATCATGCTGAGTGCATAATGCTGACACTTAGGAAAAGCTCATCTTGTGAGCTAAACATTTTTCATATGGAAGTCAATTTTAGACAATAAATAGAGCACCAGAATGCAAATCCCTCCTGTTCATTACTGCCCTTTATGTGGTAATACAAGACAATACCAGGACTTTAAGGCACAGGCTTGTCATCTGCAGCGTTTGTTCTGGATGATCCCTGCATGCTCTGCAGGTATTTTAAATGAGAATGAACTCTGCTGTTGAAATGTGGGGTCCCAGTACAATGCTCTAAGTAAAAATACACCAGAGGACACATTTTATGAGAAGGAATTTTAAAAATAGCATGTAGACAATACAAGGAAACCAACATTTGAGATTCTTACTGGATGCTGTACTGCATTAGGCAGTGATCTCTCACACAGAGGAGACTTGCGTTTGTATTTATGAGAGGGTAAGCCCTTTCCTACCATTACAATAATTAACTTAATACAGATAATTCTGTCTGTGGAATGAAAATATCTGCCTTTTAATTCTGTGTTAACTGTGAGAGGAAAAAACAGGACAAAATATATGGGTGTGAATCCAGCACTCCAGCATATTATTCTGATGGTGTTGGTTGTTCTATATAGTGTAAAGCAATAGGAACTTTGGATCCTGTCATCTGTTGAAACGATCACTGCCTTCATTGAGGAGAAGACTCAAGCTTGAATTTGCTGGAGTAGGCTTTTCTCAGGTGAGAGGAGTAAAGTCAGAAGGGATTCAAGTTGGGAATTGAGAGGAAAATGAGGAAACTTTTATCGATTTTACTTCATTGCCATTGGCATTCTAATTACTGTAACAATTAGAGAGGTGCCAGCTTTGAACTTTTTCCATGTTCGAGGAATTTGAGTATCAAGATTTAGGTTTGGTCTCATACAGAATAGCAAATAAGTGTATAAATAGCTTTTGCTGTCAGCAGATAACTTTGCCACTAGTACTGATGGTTGTTTCTAAAGGGGTTATCATGCAGTTAACTCCAAACACTGCCTGGTATTTCACAGTAGCCCTCGAAATAATTTGTCTTACTAGCATAGCGAGTACAAATTGGAACACTTGTGATTCATCTGCAAAACGTTCTGCTTGCCAGTTGTTTTACTCAAAGTGCTTTGGCAGTGTTGTCTGCCAGAAAGAAAGGTCAGCAGCAAAATTAAAAACCCCCAGGGATTACACTGCAGTTGTCCTCAGAGGGGACTTTGCTCCCGAGCCTCGGTGGCGTTTTGCTTCTCTGTGAATGTTCTCTGTCAGAGGGGCTGGTGGATGTTGGGAAAGGTTCTTTGGTTGACAACAGATGAGGCCAAACCCTGATTTGCTGCTCTAATCCTGAGCTGTGGGACAGCTATGGAGGGCTCCATGGCCAAGGTGAGAGAAGAATAATCACCTGCAGGCAGAGCAGCTATCTAACAGTCCTTAGCGTGTCCTACTGTTTTTTGAGGGAGTTGAACCTGATTTAGTCATTTCCACCTCTGAATACTATGTCACTTTTTATTTCTTCTTTAGTTTCATAGACAGTGCACAGATCTGGTGAATTTATCAATTTCAGTTCAGGGTGAACTGATATTTTGTTCCTTGAACTTTGTAAAAGGTCTTTTATTTTGCTAAATTCTTACAATAAAGTTCTCCGAGAAGTCCCTGTCAATTCATATAAGTTTGGAAATTTGGAAAAATAGGTTTAATGCTAAAAAATTGAAAGCCCATTTTAGTTCAACCAAAAGAAAACCAAAAACCTTATCCTAAACTGTTTTGTTACTTTACTCTTTGTTTCAAAACATAGAATGTACAAATGTGAACGTGCAATGAACTGAGCGACTTGAAAAGCAATAAAATAAAAGCCAATTTCCAGAAGCTTCCATGAAAATAAAGAAATTTTACATTCACACCAGCCTTTGAGATGACCAGAAATGAAAAATGCTGTTCAGTCACATGGTAAATTTTCTACAGCTGCATCCCTCATGGTTTCTGTTTAAAGCTCCAGTTTCCTATTCCAAAGCAGTGTAGCAGCTCACCCACACAAACACCTATTTTCCCACATCATCATATACCTCTTGTTCATGAGTGAAATTTATTTTAATAAGTCTCGGTTTTCTTACCTGCTGACCACTTTGTTGATTAGCATCCTCTCTGAAATGCAGTTTTCTTTCCAGGTCCTTCACAAGTGCAACTTTGTTTTCCCGAATAGAATCTTCTGTTGCTAATGGCAGAGGCTTCAGGTTTTTCTTTGTTAATCCCTGGGTTGGGCTATTAAAAGAAAATTCTGATACTAACATGCAGCAACCAGCACATATATATTTCATCACATATATGATATGATATGTTATGGTGGAACCTGTTATTTATTTACATAGAAGCCAAAGCACAGTACAGGATATGGTTCTTTTTATTTTTGGGACTATAATATTATTATTGGTAATATCCTATAATTATTTTTGGTACTATAATAATGGGGCATCCCATTCCTATGCAGTAGAAATTAAAAACACACATCTTAAAGAAAACAAGGGTTGTAATGCTACAATAAGCATCTAAGTTCCATATGTATTTATCCTGCAATAATGATATCAATAATGATATGATATTTATTAGGAAATGCTAAAGAAGTGAGTGTAGGTGTTACCTTAGGTGTACAATGTGTACATTTGACTGGTGTCAGGCAATAATTTAAATTAATACAAGTTAATACAAGTTCTCATTGATCTTTATCTCACATCTTCATCGATCATTTACCCTTTCCAGGAATTTTACTTCTTTAATTTCTCTTGCCCTAACAGCAACAGTTATTTTTTGTTTTTATATTATAGGTGTGGTCCGTTTAATTTTAGTAAGGTTTGAAAATAGTAAAAGACAGACACAGGGACACATTTTTCTGTTGTAATCAGCAGGATAGTCAGGAGATTGTGACTTGCTGGTGGCTATCACTACCTTAAAATATACCACTGATAAAAGGGGAAAATATTCCTTACTTTGTGCAGGATTTGGAGTTCTGTGGGTAAATAGTTGTACCAAAGAACAGGTGCTAGCCATGCTAACACAGAGTTCACATAGTCCACAAAAGGGAAATTTGCTTCAACTCCACCAGTAGAAACTCTTAAGGCCACCACCTTGCCAGTACCTCATCATCTTTATTTGCTTGTATCTTGGTAGCTATTTTGTCATAGAAGTCATGCTAGCTGTTAGTTGAAGTATTTATGGGCAAACCATTAACTCTCCTGAAATTTTCTGGGGGACTTCAAATGTAGAAAGTACTGCAATCAGAAAAAGACCTTTACATAAATTATTTCTTAGACTCACCTGGACTGAAAATAAAACAACTTGCAGTATAAGGTACCTTTAAAGTTTTATTTGTTGCTTACAGTAGGTATGAATGTTTTTATACCTGGTATAAATAGTGACTTTTCCTGCAAGCTCATGAAATCTCTTTTCTCACACTGGTGGGGTCTTCTGAATGTCTGAGCCCCCACATTCTTGTTTATCTGTTTGTAGGATCCCATTTCTCTATCTTGAATTCTGTCTTATTACAGAAGGTGTTATCCCTTCTTTACTGGATGTAAAGATTAGATTAATGACCAGAGTATATAAGTCACTTCTCTATTTTACAAGAGACTTGCCTTTCAGGGACTCCCCCACTGACCACCTGAACAGAAACACATCCTGGTTTCCTTTGAGGATTTCTCCCTGCTTTTGTGCGTGTGGTTTCTGCTACTTACGTGGCTGGTGTGCTTCTGGGCAGTCCCATGGCATTGGTGGATGGCGTGGTGGGAAGTGAAGGAAGAACAGCACTTAGGAAAGCGACTGGATTCTGGATGCGTGCGGTTGGGGAGAGGGGAGCGGGGGTCACAGTCTGCGGCTGGAACTGTTTTACACTGCAAGCAGAAAACGCTAACGGAGGCACCGCCGCTTCCTTAGGGCTTGGTAGAGACTGTTCGCTTTTGCTTGTAAAGCCTCCTGATGGCCTGGACGGGGCTGCTGGAGGATTTGCTATGAAATTTTCCATGTGGTTTGTTCTCTGAGCCGCCTGAGGGATGCTGCTGAATGTGCTGGAGGAGCTGGCAGAGGGGCTGGCCGGCAGCGGCGTTTGCGGTGCCAGGAACTGCTTGGGGCGGCCGTAGCCAAAGGATGGCGAGGCAGAGGATGAGCTTTGCTTGTACAGGGTTGAGGTGGACTGCTGGTAGAGGGAAGTAGCAGAATTCACCAAAGTGCTGTTGAATGACCACTCTCTTAGAGATGCCTGCTGCACCTGCTGTTGTTCGAGCAAGACCTGGTTGTGGAGCTGTTTTAACTGGCTCTGATCGCTGCACAGAAAATAAAGATGAACAGAATTGGTTATGAGCCCCGAATGAAGCAGTTGCTGCGCTTCCATGTATGAATTCAGAGAGAAAAATTCTATATCCTGTAATACACTAAGAGACAGGAAAATGCAACGTGACGTTCTCTAACATTATGAGAAGAGCATAGTATTAGTTTGCTACTAAAATAACCTTTTCCTTCATCTCTCCTTCTTTGCCAGAGGCACCAAAGCTTTTTGTCTGCAAATTATTTGACTGAAGATAATTCTTACATTTTAGCATGTGAAATATAAGTATAAATCTTACTCGGAGATATTTAAGGGGTAGCATTGTCAAAGTCAATTATGGACCTCTGCTTCTATTACTAAGAGTGAGATTTGGTGTATCATAATTTAAATGAGTGATTGTAAACCAGATTGCATTATTTACCTCCTGCTGAAGTTCTGAAACCAGCACTTGGACTGATAAAGATTTGTAATAATCCACCATAGGAGATATTAACAACGTACTTTAGGTGGTGTTGACATGCAGGAGAGGATAATTCAGAGAGGATTTGCATTCCATGCAGTTGTTAATTTTCTAGATGTTACCTACTGGATAGTTTTTCAGGGCAATTAAGGAAAATCATTTTGTCTTGTCAAGCGGTTTATTTTGTTATTGTGTCTATGGAAATATAGCACATGAAAAGCAGGAGAGCTTTTTCCCTTCCAAAGCCAGAAAAGACATAGAGGATATGGAAAATGATTGTGTAATAAACGATGGACTATTAAATAACTACTGATAACAAGTGGAAAATGTAGATGTAGAGACCAACCACAACTGCTCCTGACAAAGCAAATACATATTCAACATAATTTGGTTTTAGTTAAAAGTCTTTGTTTCTACAATGTACTAAACAAAAACCCCATTAAAGGCAGATAAAGATAGCAATTTCAAGCTTTCATAAAGCAGAATGTAGAGAGTTAGTAGCTGTGTGGGCCTGATTTTGTGCCCTTCACATAATAAAGCAATCCTTTGTAACACAGCTTTTTTGGGAAGGGGAGCTGAGAGAAATTCTGCTTTTTGCAAGTATTGGGTACTTAAATACAGCTCCTGCCTCCCCCCTTAAACTCACTATAGCTCAGGAAGTATGTAGGGCTGTGAATGTGAGCTTCACAAATTAAAACCCTGTGCTCCAAGTTCTTCCTCTGCTACCAGGAATACAAGTTCTGTCTTGTAATGCTTATGCTATGAAATTACATCCTTGCTTAAGAGTACCAGTGAATTACTTGATAAAGTCCTTCCTGAGCCCTTAGGTAAAACTTCTGCCTATTTGAGAAATGAAATGAAGATGTTTGTGTGCTTTTTGTTAGGCTGTATGTGGGAGGTTGAAAAAAATGCTGAAAATACTTCTCTTAATAAACTGCAGCGTGAATTCCATCAATTGTCCTCTAAGAAAACGACATTACTTCTTCTAATTTCCCCTTCATCTCCCAATGCACCAATCAGGTGCTTTTTAGTTCAAGTGGTTTCACATTATCAGGCATTTCCAAGTATTTTATCTGTTTTAGGAGGAGATGACGTTTGTGGGACGTACAAGTCATGAGGCACGGCCTTTGGGATGACAGTTTCTCGCTGGCTGCCAGTCTGTACTGTGTGTAAGACTGAATTTATCGGCTTTGGGAAATATTTCACACCCAGAATTGAGTGAGATATGTTTGAAGAACCTGCTTTTATTTTGCCTGCATAAGATCAGTGTTCTCCACCTTTTGATCGCAGCAGAAAACGCTGTGGAATTAGTAACATTTCCAAGGGAAAACATTTTCCTTTTTCAATTGGAGATCACTTTTCCTCACAGGGATATACAGAAAAAATAATCTAGTGCTGGAGAATTTGTTTTCTAAGATGATGGTTAATTGGGCCAATGCCATGTAATCTTTTTATTCTGCATTTGAGTTTTTGCTCCAGTGCAATAGTGTCATGGTCAATAAATACTAAAAACTACCAGTGATGCTCCTGAGAATTAGACTTTTGTTTACTTACAGCTTTGGCTTAGCCAGTACTGGGGGAGGTTCCTTGGATGGTGATGTTGGCTCTGCTATTTTCATTGGCTGTCCATTTATCTTCTCTGGGAAATGGTTGGGTCTGATTTGGTTTGTGGCGCCAGGTCCATCCTCTGAGGACGACTCACTTCCTTTTTCATCTTCAGGCAGCTTGAAGTGGACACGGAGCCCTGCCTTGGAACTCGACCTGGGCTCGTTGTGGTTGACAAGAACCCCTTCCAGTTTAGGTTTGGGTGTTTGATTTGCTCCCTGGCTGGCAGGAGTTTGTGGGGGAGGCTGGTGCTCAGTGGCGACAAAGTCGATGGAGCTCGTGGTGTGAAGGGCAGCAGCGTTACTGCTGTCTTCAGGTGCTGAAAGAGGAAAGGTGAGACCTGTGGGATATGTAAATGCCAGAAATCATAGTGAAATGAAATCACAGGAGTTACGGTTCGAAAAACTCACTCTGATGTCCTTCCAGCTGTTGCACTGAGTTGTTAGACCGTGTTTGTTTAGGAACAAATTCCCTTGGAAAAGGAATGTTGTAAAGGTAGAAGGAAAAGGGAAATCTTGGAGAATCAATCAGTGATCTTCAGCCACGTCCCCAGTGAATTATCCCACTACATCTTTGAAATACAAACTGTTTGGTTTTTCCCCCAGAGAATTCTCACACTTTTCAGTTATGAAGAACATTGGCAGAACTTGAGCTGCATTGGAGTCAACAGTACACAGCATAAATGCTCTGTACCTGCTCTGCTCGTATTTGCTAGGGAGCAAAGGACTCAAAGCAGCTCTTACCTTTGACAGTCAGACGAGCTATACTGGACACTGTGCCGTATTTATTGCTCGCAGTACAGGTGAAACTGCCTGAATCTTCTGAAAATACTTCAGCAATCACCAGAGTACAAATCTCCTCTGCAAAAAAAGTCAGGATGAAGTGAACATGCAGTGAACACACAAAACCCTGACTGCCTTTGGGGAGATTTCCTTAAGGTCTTCCACCTTGCTCAGTTTGTTTCTAGTTCCATCAGTATTATCAATTTTGGCAGCCTTTGTGTGCAGCAGCTGTTATCAGCATTGTCTGCAGCAACTGGTACCCTCTGTGCTCCAGCATGCCCAATGAAAGCAAAGAACAGGTGTCAGCAGTGTGTGGAAAACATTAGAAAATGTTTTCCCAACACACAAAGTACAGACTTAAAAGAACTTAAAATTTAATTTGGAAAAATATATGGTGTACTCCTCGCTCGCAGCTCACTAAAATATAGGTATTTTTATCTCTGCAGATTGAAAGATTAATTTTAATTGCCTGGGAGCAATTCAAGTGGAGTCACTCTGTAAGGGGGAGAAATGTAAAATACATGCATATAGACTGTTGTTCTCAAAAATAGCAGTGCAGGTTTGCAGATAGAGGGGATTGTGCTTACAGAAAGTTGTCTTTTGACTTCTTTGTGAAGATGTCCAATGGGCACCAAAAATACGGTAGCAAAATTGTACTAGGAAAAATGATATTCCATCTAGAAAAGTCAGTCTGGGTTTATGACATTCCTGCCTGACAGGTCTGGGCAGCAGTGCCAGCTAATAAATACCTGTTGTGGTGGGATTTGAAATCTTTTGGTTTGGCTGTGTAGCTGGGAGGAGGAGGAGGAGGGACAGTAACATCTAAAGTGAATTAAAATGTGGGCTGATAAAATTTCTTCACCTACTCAGAGACTATTTTCCAACAATAAACTTTCCTAAAACCCTCCAGGATAAATATTCTGGGAGTACTTTTGCAGAAGGCTATAACACACTTAAATTTGATTGTTTCATGTCATCACCAAGGAAAACCTAATAGCAACAAAGAGATTGTTTGCTATCAACTATAGGAGAATAATAGTTTATTATAGCAGGATGATAACAGAACTAGTTGAAGGCTTTATAGTATCTAGTTTATCGTGCTGGGATCTGCCAACCACTGCATGCATGGAAATCCAGATTCCTTCTGAATGAGCAGCAGGTGATGAGTCTGTGACAACTGCACCCAACTGATTATCCCCTAAAAACTGCTTCACATTACTCAGCAGTGATGCCACTGCACACTAACAGAACAGTGGCGGTGCCTTCTGGTACAAGCTCCATTTTTTCAGTCCTGAATCTCACACAGAGACAGTTTCTTTAGAGAGACTCTTTTTGGGGTAAATACAGAAGTTTTTTTTTGAGAATACAGTAGTTTATATTCCATAAGTATTAATACTCCTTTGGTAATTTTCCATCTTGAGAGGGGCGGCTTCGTATTTTTAGTGGCAAAACACATAGCGAGGAGAGTGAAACTCATGGAGAAATAATCAAAGCTTTGTGGCTCCTCTGCTCCAACCATGTGAAGCAGTCCACATTCTGCCCTGATCCTTGATATCAGCAGATCCAGCCACATTTTTAGGATTTGCTGATATCAGGGATGGAACACCTGATGTGGTACTCTCACATTACGCTGGTAGGGAGCACAGGGAATGGCTGACATGGCTAAACGTCTGATGCAATGTTCCCTAACTGGTAAACTAGATAAAAATAGCTCAGGTCTACCTCATCTCATGTACTTCAGGACCTCAGATGTACAGGGGACCCTCATACATTAATTTTATTAATCTTTAGCTCATTTAGATCCTGAGTTAAAAGTGGGTCCAAGCAGAATGAAAACTTTTCTTCAAAAGAGACTGAATTAATGCAAATTACATGTTTGTGGTACAGTCTGCAGTGAAATGTGTGTCACTAGTAGCTATAGAACATGGGGAAAAGAAGAAATTATGTTAATTAAATAATGAAGTTTTAATATTTAATGTTTTCTGAGGTTAAACCACCACATTTATGTAATGGAAAAATTATGAGCCTTTGATGATCCTCACCTGGTTCAGCCATAGATCGTGGTTCTAAAGGGAAGAAGAGGAGAATTATTAGATTGAATACAGTTATTTTTGCCAATATTTCTTTTTCCTTAAGCACTAAATATAAAGTTTGACCTTCTAAATATGATGAAATACTCTTTTTGATCCAATTTTCTGTTTAAGGGGAGGTGAAGACAGCCAGGCCTTTCACTCAATGGTATGTCAAAGCCAATGAACAATATGAACACTGTTGGGAACTTGGGAAGGAATAGGAAATAAATTCTCCAGTATTGGCACAATTCTATTTTGTCTTGAAGACAATTTCTGAAACTCTGACCCACGTGAAATCAAGATATGATGAACCATTGTTTCACTTAGGTTTAGTTTAGTGCAGTATTTAAGGAATTTCTGTTGAATTGTCACAATTTTAGCATTTCAGCAACTTAGAGAAAATTGCAGATGTTCTGACTCCATTTGAAAATTAAAATTACAGTTGTAGTAAGAAATTCACAGTGCTGCTATGTTAGCAATTTTGTTGCTTGCCTATATTTTATTAGACACAATATTTTCACACAAGAAACATACTTTTCTGTAATATCCTAAAATCTGGAGAGTCTTCTATCAGTGTTCCTTCTCTATACCATTCAACCTTTGGGGAAGGAGCTCCTTTCACCCGACATTCAAAAACAACAAGCTGCCCCTCAGAAGCTGAAATATCCTGTAACATCTAATAGAGAAAATGAATAGACAGTCAGTAAATGTCTTAATGGTCTGGATGTAGTACTGATTTCAGTAAGATTTAATAATAAAGACACTTAAACCCTTGAATGGCTTAGGAAAAGCTTTTTTTTCTTTTTTTTTTTGAGAGCTAATTTTTAATTCTCTCTTTTTTACAATTATCTGACCTCTGCTTTGCAAATATGTCATAGTAGAAATTACCTTTGTAAATACAGGAGCAGCAATTATAGGTCTTCCATCCAGTCCTTGCAAATAGTTAGTGGGGCTTTGAGCCTGTGGATTAAAAAACATCACAAGATGATGTTTAGGTGTACAGACATTATTTTATTCATATACAAGAGAAATGTGCTTTTGGAACAACATAAAAGAGATTTTGATGGATGAAGTCTAAAGCAAAACACCTAATGCAGTGAACAGAAATTCTATTGCGGACAACTGATCTTCCTGGATGGAATAACAGCAAAAATGCTGTTAATTACTTTTATTGCCCTACTCAGTTAATCATGGCAAGAAAAGCTTTAGCACAGTGTATTGTAACATCTTTTCTTCAGTCTTCAAATATATGTTGTCTGCTTGGTCATAGTCTTGTTTTAAAAATTCTTAGTTACAAAATAGTTATTGATGTTGATAAGGAAATGTTAAGTCACATGTGTGACTGCTACTATAATTCTTCTCCTTTACCAAAACCAAACCTTTTACAGAGGTGGGATATCAACCTGTTGATCCTACTCAGTGAAAGCAGAATGGAATTGTTTTCCTCCTGGAAAATTTTGTTATGTAGGTTGAGTATTTAATATAGCTTTTATTATTTTAGTGCGCTAGGAGTTGCCCCAGAACAGAATTAATGATTCAGTATCTCAGGAAATAACCAAAGGAAGTAGATGGTGCAATCATTCTGGGCTATAAACTTTGAAAAGGCACTGTAAAGGGAGAAACTCAGAAGCTCGTGAACTTTGCAGTTTTAACTAAGTATGGCTCCTCTTTCTTATCAGGAGAGAATTCACAGCTGTGAATATGCAACAAAAGCAACTCCAAATTCATGGTGACATTAATTAGAAACCCTTGGATGTGCATTGTAAAATGTTATGTGGCAAACAAGCTTATCTACATATAAATTAAGTATAGTAGTGAGTGACTCAGCTTAAAATAAGTTTCATTGAAAGGAAAAGGTTTCAAGTGGGTTCTGTAGCGAGGGAGAGGAAAACATGCAAGGCTGGAAAGTGCATGAGCCAGTCTGCGATGAGGAGAGGCCACAAAGGTGACTCCACATCCTGGTGGTGCCCTTCCAGCCCCTGAGCTGCTGGAGTGCAGCTGGATCCCATGGAGCTGCTGGAGTGCAGCTGGATCCCATGGAGCTGCTGGAGTGCAGCTGGATCCCATGGAGCTGCTGGAATGCACCTGGATCCCATGGAGCTGCTGGAGTGCAGCTGGATCCCATGGAGCTGCTGGAATGCACAGATTCCCAGTGCTGGCTGAGCCTCCTGCTCCTCCTGCAGCTGAGGGAGGAAGGTGCCCTGCCCTTGGCCAGCAGCTCCAGGTTAACTCGTCTGTGGACTGTATGGCTGCCAGGCTCAAAGCTGAACTTCAACAGCAAAGCAAATGCTAGAAAATTTGGGGTTCTCAGTCACAAACTGTAGAAGAAACACTTTATGAAGAGCTTGTTTTTAGTCCTTGGAATTCACCATGGTGTCCCCCCTACCTGGTTAACTGGTGTTGACACAGTCTGGACAGGGACAGGGACAGGCCCAGGCTGAGCCACAGCTGATGGTGCCCTGGTGTTCTCCTGATGCTTGGTTGCAGTTCTGACAGCAGGAGCTGCTGCATTCACAGAGGTGTTGGCTGGCTTTGGTTTGCTGTGAAATATTACCCAAGAACAAGTTAGAGCTGTGTGTGTGTCCCCAAGTTACGTCTGTCTCAGCTACATGTCAACCCCAGCCTCACTCCTGGGGCTGATTTCCTCCTGCTCTGAGCTGGTTACTCCTAAATTACTCCTAGGTAAAGCTGCATTTTTAAACTCAGCCTGCATATCTGGCCACTCAAAGATCTCTTGGTTCAGCTATGCCAAATGCAATCAATGTCCTGGATTCACCCAGTTGTGGCTGTCAGCAGATCAGAGCAGCTTGAGAAGGCAATGCTGGTTTCACAGAAGGCACTGCTATTTTTTAATTTGTGAAGAGCTGGGCAATGAAGGTAATGAAAATACCACACATTGTTTGGATACAAATTCGGTAATTAATTGCTGAAAAATAAAAGAGACATGCTTTCTGATCAACAGAGCATCAATTTTGCTAATGTACAGATTGACACCTCTTCACTTTGTGGTTGCTCATATATGGAAATACAAGACTCAACACTTTGAAATTTTATTGCTAGGTGAAATAATGCAGACAGTGAAGAGCTGATCTTTTTATTCAGCTTGAGGTCACGCCAGTAAAGCTGGCCTTCAAAACAGGGGAAGCTTTCCTCAGATTGAAGATACAAATGTTGTGATCACTGACTGCTCTTTTGAACATCTTTTAGCAGCTGTTCTCATATTAACCCCCTTTAGGTACAGGTGTTCAGATTCCTGTGATGACAGCTGGAAGCTAAGCAAAAATGAAGACACTCTCCTTATACCCAAACCTGGTCTTTCAAAATGTGATCATTTGAGGACATCCTACTATGATGTCAGAGCAGCATTCTGAGAAAAAAATTACAGCTTGATGAGGTAAGTGATATAGGGATGCCTTCAAGTGATCAGGATCATGGTCAACCCTAATGAGATGAGTGTGAAAAATAAAAAATGCCTGTGCCATTTGGACAAGTCTGAGCTAGAGTGGAAAACCTCAGCATTCATCCCAGACCAATCAGCAGTACATCAGGCTTGAGATTTAACCCATAACATTCATCAAAGTCCATAAACCAATTCCACCTGGAGTATTTTGTGACTTTGAAGTTTAAATCGCGTACAGCAGGATTTGCTGTCAGCCAGAGGCCTTCAGTCAAATACACTGCAAATGTCTCCTCTTTACATTTTAAAAACTGGCATTTGTGATGAGTGCAATTCTCCTTAGAGATGGAAATAACCAACTGGGTGCACAAATCTGGTTATGGCCTCTTTTATCAAGCAGTGGTTGCTTTTCATGTGGAATCTGTGCATACAAAGGAGCCCAAAATTAAAGACTGATTATTTTAGTTTTCAATCAGTCTGACTCCCTTTCTAGCTAATAAAAGGACTTTGATTCTGAAAGAAATTTAACAGCATTGGATCAGGTTCTAAACCATCAGGGGATGGACTTCATTTAGGAAAAATAAATAAATGAATAAATAAACATTTCCCAGATTTTAGATTGCATCTCACATATTTTTATAATTAAGCAGTCTTTTATAGCATCATTTCAGTTCACTCTAGTGCATGTCTATTAATTTCTTAATCTTAAATCTAAATAATCAGTCTCCACCTATATTCTGCCAAAAAAATTTGTGTATTTTCCTGTGAGAAATTGTACTTTGTTCTTTGTCCAAATCAAACACTTAAATCAGCATTTAAGCTGGATCTAGTCAAATGGCTTTTGTTTAAATAAATTAATTTTAGAATTTCAATCTTTATGGTAACATCTTCCTTCTTATATAAATATTTAATATTAAAATTTCAATTATTAATCTAGAGGACACAAAAGTAAACAAATGTTTGTTCCGTGCTATTTGTAAAGCAAACAAACAAGCAGCCAAACAAAATTCAACCCAACCAGTCCAAACTCATCCTAAACAGAATGATAACGTGTTGGAAGCTGCAAACTGAAATGTCTGCACTTGTGGGTTTTTTAACTGTAAGAAATGTGGAGGATGTAATTGATTTTAAACTTACTGATCCATTTCGTCTCTGATGATTTCACCTTCAGAGTCAGAAGAAGAGATGCCTATGAAAGAATTTAAAATATATCATTTAGCAGAGGGGTTTTTGAGGTTCTCTTTGAATGCCACAAAGCTTTATTCAGATTTCCTGTGGAGCACTCTATGGATATGTGTTATAAATCTGTGTCCAGACAAAAGATCCCATTGCAGGGGAAGCGACCCAGCGTTCCATACTGTGCAAGGCACAGAACTGCTGTTGAGATAAGGCAGATTTGGGAGGAGGTGCAATTGAAATAAGGAGAACATCCAAGAGGGATTGAATATACCTGGATGCTCCTCAAGTTCTCTTTCAAGTGCCACCATGGTTTTTGATTTAGTCAAAAACTAAATCAAATCATTTAGTCCATATTTGTTGTGAATCAAGTACGAGATTTCTTCTCTCAGACACCTGATATATCAGATGAGAAGGAAAAAGAGAGAGACCTGGAATCATAGCTGTTATTCTCCAGCTAGTGCCTTGTACCACCATATGAAGAAGATACTAGCTCTGTTTACTGACTGCTGAGAGTTACTGAGACATTTTACACTTCTGATTCTGCCTTCACTGTGCTTGAATTTGCATTTTCTCCGCAGTTCCTGCCAGTGAACATCTCCATCAGCCGTGGCTCCCATCCAGCATCCTCTGAGTTGGGTAAAAGCAGACTTTGGCCCCTGTCTCTAGAACATGTAAATCCCTGCCAAGCACAGACATCTCCCGTTAATGTCAGGGGCAGTGCAGATACTAAAAAAAGGATTTGTCCTTCCACTGTCAAATTGGAGACGTGGAAGAAGAGTAACAGCAGAACAAAATTCATCTTTAGGGCAGTGCTGTAATTTATGAATGGTCCCACTGTGCTCAGTGATGGTGCTCTCAGTATGTTTCTCTGAGAGAAAAAAAGAAAAAAAAATCCTATGTGTTTATTTTAAGTTTATTTTAATAAAATAGCACAATAATGGGTTCAGTCTAAAATCTTACCCAAGAAAATGTTAAAAGGAAATGTAATAAATACACCACTCCTAGGCCTCCTAGGTGTAGTAAAAAGAATAAGGAGAAAGAAAAGACACCTAAATCTGCAAATATATATTTTGTTTGATTTACAGCATCTACTGGACAAGTAGAATATCAAACTGATGGCATATTTATTTTGGTTAAAAGATTCCAAGGAAGAATTAAGAGGAAGCTGTCCTACATTCAGTTTGTAATAATGACTGTAGGGAAAAGGTATTAATAAGAATTAGACACAAAGTTTAGTTTCTTACACCTCTGTAGAGTTCCACAGACAAAAAATACAAGGTGTTTTCAGAATCTGAATATTTTTAGACTTGGATCTTGCAGTGAGATATATAAAATCTCTGGGAAGCAACACATAAAATGTAAGGGCTTGTCTGAAGAGAGACTGAAGAGACTGGTCCCTTGTCTGAAGAGTGTTTTACAGGAAAATAAAAATTATATTTGTAAATGATGGAAAGTGTTGACTCCTGCTATGTTTTTTTTTTTTTTAAAAGACAAAACTAGCACAGTTAGCAAGCAAGATACATAATTGTTTCTTAATCCTGTCTGACCAGTTCCAACCATCAGTTTTTTGCAACACTTGTAACATTACCTTCTATGTAAATCTCTGCAGAAGTGGAGTCTGTTCCATAGATGTTGGAAGCAAAGCACGAGTAACGCCCTGTGTCCTCCTCAAAAGCTTCAACAATAATCAGTGAGTGTCGATCCCCTGTCTGGATAATTTGAATGTCTGGTGAGTTTTCAAGCTCCTTCCCTTCACAGTACCACCTGCAAAGCAAAAAGAAATTGTTTTTCAATGCAAACAAGTGGATAACTAGGATGATCATGTTTGGAGTCTTTCTGATGGTAAAATTGGTAGGTTTAGCCTGAAGATTCTGACAGTACTGCAGGCAAGTGTTGAATCAATAGTCATAGGAATAAAATATTGATGATTTTAATAATATTAAATAAAGAGTAAAAGAGCTCTGAATTTGTAACACAGCTCTGAATTTCTCTTGAGGTACAATCAGATCTGTGTAGTGGCTTAAAGTGCAGCAAAAAACACCCAACCCTAAGTTAACAAATATCCCTCAAACTTGTGTTTCGTAATTTCATGTTAAATCAGGATGTGACTGAAATTTGTCTTTGCTTTGCCATGTATTTAACACAACCTGCTTTCTATAAAAGATGGCAGAAGTGTATCACAAGGTAAGAGAGTTGATCTGTTACAGAAAGAGCCAGTGAGGCAGCTGCACCAGGAATGCTGTTCTGCACGATGCTCCTCTTTAAACACTGCTGCATATCCAAGGATCTGTTGGGCCCTCTAGAGCTGTCACACTCTGATCTCAGGCATTCCTAAGTCCCTCAGGGTTCAGAAGGGTTGTTTCAGTGGAAAATGCAGGAATCCACACAAAAGGAAAAGCAGCTCCTTCACAGAGAGCTCTACAGGACGTGTCACTGGCAGGGAGCAGCAGCTCACTCTGAGCTGGTAGGAGGGGAGGGCAGGACTGCAGAACAGAAGCACAAAAAGCAGGTGGGTCTGGAGAATTAAAGATCCAGATTAAATCTGGGCTTTATAAAGAAGATGTATTGCTATGTGTAAAGATCCAGAGTTAAATGTTTGAGATAATACTCAGAAATATCTGTATTTATAGATAACTAGCTAAATTTGAAAAGCCAAACTTCAGTGCATTCATCTTCACTGTAACTTTTCAAAGAAAGAAAGAAAGATGATAGATAGATAGATAGATAGATAGATAGATAGATAGATAGATAGATAGATAGATAAAAAATGCCTCAAAAGTATTTGTATTTTCTTAATGTGACTTTCTTAATTACATGTGATCAGCTAATGCATCTTCTGCATGTGAGGGTGGGGGCTGTCATACTGGCAATATTCTTTCTTCAATTGACTTAAGAAAAAGTTTCATCCATCTTTTATGGTAACTTGGTAAAAGAACCTGTCAACATCTGACTGATACTACAGAAAATAAGATTGTTGTGGAAAGGATAAGGATAGGTTTTTAAGTAAGAAATTGTAATAATTAATATCTCTTGTCTTACACTATAAGGTACCTCAATACATTTCCATCTCAGATATTTAAGAAAAACATGAATAATTTGTTTGACCACTCAATTGCAGAACTTTTAAACAAATTTGTGCTACAAATTAAGTGTGAAAAAACCCCAAATTAATATATTGAAAAAAAAAAAATTTTTTAAACAGTCCATATCAGCAGAAACCCAGAATATAACAGAAGTATAATTGAGAATTGAGGAAGGAGCCTCAAGGGGTCTCTGAGGTATGAGGGGTACAGATCTAGCACTTAAATGCCGATTCTGTGGGTGAGCAGAGGACCAGGCCCTATTTGTGCCCATCCAACACAGCTTCCTCAAAGCACACAGGGCATTCCCTGCATTTCATCCACACCAGAGATGCCCTGAGCTACCTTCTGTCAGTGCTCACTCTGCACTTTCCTCCAGGTAGCTTTCAGCAGCCATTCACGCTGCTTCTCAAACCTCAGTGGGACTTGTTTGGGATGCAGAGTTCTGGCCACCAACCAAACCCATGGCAGCACCTTTGGAAATTGGAGAGCTCATGCAAAAGCAGCACAAATCCAAGATGCCAGGTGAGCTGGCACATGTGGAAGGCTGAGGAAGAACCCCCTGGCTGGTCTGGCTCGGGTTACAGATCCACCTAAGCCAGCAGGCTCCCCTGCCACTGGCCAAAAACAGACCCTGCAGGGAGGTATAAGAACAGAGGGAATGTATACCTGTGTAAATTCACTTATTGCTCTGGAGGGTGTAACCATCCTCTTTAACTTCTTTCCCAAGGTGGGAAGCAGCACTTAAAAATAGTTCTAAAAATGTGAGATCACTGGTGTTAAAATCATTATTAATAAACTACTTCTCCCTCTGAGGATTTCATGATCACAGTACCACTGCCATTGTTTTCCAGTAGATTAGACAGTATGGTTCCTTGCTAACATTTATTTTGAAAATACTAATCTGTAATTATTTTTTGTTTATTAATTTTTATCTTTATTTTGAAACTATTGGTTTGCATTTTCATTCAAAATACATTTCAAAATTACCTTTCTACCTTCTGATTGACTTCTAGTGGTCACATTCTGTCACAGTCCTGTCAGATCCTCTAAAACAAAACCTCTTCAAACAGAAGGAACAGCTACATCTGTTTTAAACTTTGTCCATAGTGGCTTGCCCAAATCTGGGATTTTTACCAGTAATACTTGGATACAAAGGGTTTGTTTTTTTGGACTGGTTCCCCAGAAGTGAGTATCACATTTTCTTTTCTGTTCAGTGCTGTCCTTACACACCTGTAGGTACAGACACCATAGCTCCTAGTTGGCATCCAGAACACAAACCTCCAGTGCTTGGGATAGATGAACAACTCTGCCAGGAGCAAGCAGAGGAAATGTTTAGCACTCCCAAGGGAGAAGTATGGTAATGTGCATTACAGGGTCCATTGAAAAATGTCCTTTTCAAATTACTAATGCCTTTTTGAGTTCCAGACTTGGGAATTACACAGGGTTCCTGTGATACTGAAGGGAGAATTTCTTAAAATTCTATCTACAATGTGGTTTATTCTCAAGAAGTGCAGTTGGTGACCACTGAAAATGGTCACATTATCAGGAGAGAAGGTTCATGCAGTTGTGTGACTACAGGCACAAATTTGGTACATGAATGTACAAGTTGCCTTTTAGGTGTGTAATTCACGTAGGCAACTGTGTACTTTGGGACATGAGTCATGGCACTTACTCATGTCTTTTTATATACCTACCTCATGCCTCTTCCTTATATTGTAGCCTTGTTTTAGGGTGTTAGCCTTAGCAGATATGAATAAACATTAAAGAGAGTACTCATGTTCTAGGATTTAATTTCATTTTCAGCAGCATCTTTTCAGAACATTAAAATAATTTGCATAGTACAGTGATATCATATTTTTGTGTCCATTTAAATGTGTTTTCTTACCTAAGTGGCACACTGAGCAAAACACATTGCACAGAATGCTGTGATATCATTGCCATTAAGGTCGAAGTCATTGTGTTACTGATCAGCTTTTCCAGTTAACCTGTTGTGTTTATGCAAAGTCTGTATCACATGCTTTTGTGAGGCACAATTTAATTTTAATTTCCTATAAGCAAATTTAAAACCACTGTGTAAGCCAATTTTTTACATTTCTTTTATTAGTATACAAATATTATGTTCCTTTAGTAGACTCAAACCGTGAAGCAGAATCGAGTTAATTGTTATTTTTTTTCCTTCAGTTAGTCCTAAATTTGCAGCATCAGTGATTTAAAACTTCAGGAATTAACTCCTGTGTTTAGTGTGTTCTGTAGTCGCTCTTTCCATCATAATGTTCAAGTATTTTGGGATTAAGTTGGAAAAAAGAGTTTGTTGTGCAAATGTTGTCTCTTTGTAATGCTTACAAATCAAAACCAACGTGAAGTGAAGCTTCATGGAAACCTTTGGTCCAGCCATACCTTCTCCTTGTTAACATTTGGTTTTTTCCTTGCCCTGAGAGCGTGGTACGTGGCAGCAGTGAAATGTCAGGGGGAGTTCTGACATTGAGCCTCGTGGCACGGCTGAAGGAGCAATGCTCTGCCACTGACATTTCATTCCTGCCACGGATTGCAACCAGAGCTTCCTCGTGCAAGGCAGGTTCACATTAAGCACAGGCAGCGTCACCCCCTGTGCCAAATTCATCCTAGATCTTAATCCATTGACTTGACTGGAGCTGAATGTAAGAGAAGTTTGGCTCTAGACTTTGAGCACTAAAACAGAGAAATGCTTTCATTTGGCAGCCAGGAAGAAAAATCTTAATTAATCTTGCAGGGTTTCAGAGTTTCTAAAATTCTGTGATTAGTTGCAGGTCTGGCCTCCTCAAACAAAGCAGCATAAAATGCAGCTTTTAAGCTTTGTATGCCTATGTTAAAGAATGTTTTCATGGAAACCTTATGACATACAGCCTGTTTTTAGAACATTAAATCCTCATGACACTTCCAGGATAGCTGTGTATGCCAAACCATGCAATGTGATTCATCAGTAAAATTAACCTAGGAGTGATGTGCCAAACAGTTTGGAAAAATGTAGACACCTCTGAACTTGAGGGATAAAGGAGTGACTCTCCCAGAGGGGAGTAAATGTCACACCTAGCATTACTCATACAGAAGCAGAGCTGTAGAAGGGAGCATGAGCAGGAGGTCATCGAGCACTTTGGAAATACACTACACCTTTCTCTCAAAGGCTTGTTTCTAACCCAGGACAGTCAGACTAAAGCACTCAGCAGTAGCAGAGCTCTTCAATTGCCAGCTGGGGTTTGAGGCACACATCCTGTGCTTTGTCACAGTCTTTGTCACTTCTGTGATGCTGCATTCATGATGATACTGAGAAATGGCTAATTTCTCACACAAATTTCTGGATGGGTTGGCCAAATGAGCTTTCTCTGAATTGTGGGTTTGTTAAATTAAGGCTGAGTTACCTTAAAAAACAATCGGGCAGGTCTCTCTGTATTCAGCCAAGAGGACTTGGCTTTCCATATGCTGGTGCTTCAGATGAGTTCCCCCTTTCTTCTCTTGCTCCACCATCCAGTTTTCTTTCCCTCAGTGAGCCCTCATGCAGCACACCTGTAATGCTTTATCATTCCCATGGTTTGGTGATTTGATAAATAATCAAAATGTTTTTTTGACCCTGATCCATCATGAATGTCATTTAAACCATCTTTTACATCAATTGGGTTTGGTACTATCTTGCTTTCAAACGTGATATCTGCCCCTCATATCTTCCAGTCCTTTCTATCCCTGTGACCAGCTTCTTTCTAAATATCCTGTCTCTAATTTCTCTCTTATAATCCCCATTACATCAGTCTGCTCCTAGTGTTGACTGATTAACTCCATTACAGAGCTTGCTGAATCCTGTTCTTGTTTCACAATGCTCTGGGTTCCCACAGTACCACTTCCACTTAGTAATTGTGTCTAATAAATGCATTACAAGTCACTTGGGATGCCTTTCTGTGCTTAAGAAGCCCATTTTAAGTCAAAGGTCATTAAGCTTGGTTTCATCAGTTGCTACCTTGCCTGTCAGCTCTTTCCTGGGACTGCTGATTTTTTTTATTCCCTTTACCTATTAAAATTATTAAAATCTATTAAAATCCTTCTGTCCTTGCCCAGCTCCACAAACACTGAACTAACTCACCATAAACCTTGAAAAACTCTTGCCCTCCAAGCAAGACATTTGGTCTGAGCACAGTTCTGCTCACAGTTCCACAGCTATAGCCAACAAGATGCCTCCTTCACTCTTTTGGAAGCTTTGCACAGCAGATCAAAGATAAGCACTATTTTTAGGGAAAAAGTGCTGCATTCTCCTGGTCCCCATGATTAATGGTACACAAACCCCAAAGTACATTCTGTTTTCTGATTTCCTAGTGCTGTGGCAGTGACTAACAAGGCCACGATCACTGGAAGCATGTGAATATTTATCACTCAGTCAAGTGATGATTTTTACGCCCTCTCTTAGTGTTACTTCTGCACATTGAAAGAATTTTGGATGAACATGACAAAGTTTTGTTAATAAATAATTATGATCAGGAAACTGTTCAAGGAGCCAGCATTCCCAGCTTTCTCCTTAATAGACATACACACACAAACACAAGAGAGAGTTTAGAGTTCCCCCCTTGTTACTTATCTTTTATTTTTTAGTTTAAATTGTGAAACTGAAAGCTGAGCCTGATCTTTCTCTTGAGTTTTAACTGCTTGGGACTAACTTTCCCTAGGGGACTTCTTTCTCCCTGTCCCTAATTTCCTAATCTGATGAATTGTGCAGAAGTGTAGTAGCTCCTGTACTGAATGGCATTCACTTAAGTAGCTTATTTAATTAATCAAAATTACCAAAATTAAATGTTGAAATAGAAATTTCAATTAAAAAGCTTCCATTTTTGGGGGGCAAAAATAGACCCAAGTTATATCCATTCCTGTGGCATCAAGTGGCTCCTGAATTGGGTACACCAGCATTTTGGTCATCCCTGGATACCTCCAGGATGAGCCCTCGTTCCCAGCTTCTCCTCTCTGCCCTTGCGAGGCTTCGGTGACTTTGTAGTGTCAGCTTCTAATTCTGGTGATTGTTAAACACCTAAACTTGGATGACACAAACACCTTGTCACTTTTATGTATGTCAACAGCACAAACACGACTGCTGGTGTAAGGGGAGTGTTGTGGCCTTCTGGAGAAATACCAGAATTGAACATTGTGTGTTGGAGTACAGTCTGTGAACAAGCCATTCAGTGTTCTGAGTACGAAGTAAGCCAGATTGAGTTTGTGTACAGGTCCAGATATGTAAAAGAAGATGATTTCACTTGTTGTCTTTGCATTATAAACTATGAATGATGAAAGCTGGAAAAGTAATTTCTCTCTTCCAGGGATCCTACTGATATTTATATTATCCAAAGGATTTATCGAGGCAAATGCTGAGAGAAATAAGCAAGAGAAGTGTTCAGAGAGTGAATATCTTAGGGGATGATATTTCCTGCTTGTTTTCTGTTAAAAACCCCCTGAATTTTTGGCACTGTTTTCTCTTTTAGTCAGACTCCTCCACGAGTTTCAGGGCTGAACACAATACAACATTTGTAATGGCATAAGCTCCACCAGGGGAACGGCTCGAAAGCGTTAATTCAAGCAGTAGGTTTAGATTGAAGTAGAAATAATAGTAGAAATAGAAGAAATAATGTTCTTCCCAACCAAGGATTTCCCACCTGCACACACCTACCATTACAGAAATACAAAACGACAAGTGCAGAATTATGTTTACCTGACTTCAGGTGCTGGGATTCCTACCACAATGCAGTCCAATTGCACTTTGGATCCTTCAGGAACCTCCCTGCTCTTCAGTTTCTGAGTAAAGCGTGGTGGTTGTCCAAGGGGCTCGTCAGAATATACAGATGCAGATTCTGACTCTGTTTTCAGCTCTGCGCTTGTTAACTGAGCGATGGATTCCAGGTTTGCGGCCTGTTGATCATCTGTTTGTTCAAAAGTTTTCTCTGCTTTGTTTTCCAAGTCTTGAGGTGTTGGAATGGAAAGCCTTTCTCTGTTTTCTGATGTGAGAGACAGGCTGGAGCTACCTTTTTGAGCAGACTTGTTCTTAGAATCGATTTTGCTCTTGTAGTTTTTGCATGTTCGGGGTCGTATTCTTTCAGAGTTGTGAGCTTTGAAAAGCGACGAGAGCTCCTCAATGAAATCTGCCGCCTTGTTCAGGAATTCCTTTTTGGATTCTGACTCAGAAGGGAGGTGGTGTTTCTTTAGATCTTGAGAGCTCCCTTTGGACCCCCTTGTATTTCTGACATGTTCCTGACAGAAGTTGGAGTGCAGGCCATTGTCTGATGTTTTCAAAGCTGTAGACTGGGCCATTTGTTTGTGTTTCCCTGCGTCGTTCAGCTGATCTGGGGGGCGCTGTGAATGTGCCTGAAGCTCATCCTGTTTAGTTTCCAGTGGATTCTGATCAATAGCTTGTCTTGCCAGGTTTACACTTTCATCAAGCTCTTCTTGGCTCAAAAAGGCCGAGAGATCTGGGAGGTCATCTTGGGCAGCTACCTCATCTGAATCACCAGAAGCATTGCCATAGTGGAAATTATGAGAAACTGGCTCTGATCTGCTTCTTTCACTCTTCCCTTGATGCTTAGTTTCTGCTAAATAACTCTCTCTCAGAAGCTGAGATATTGAAGTTGAGGTTTCTAAACTGTCGTCTTGCATGCTGCCAACAGAAAGGACAAATAGGACCACGCCTTATCAATAGCAATTTTTTGGATTGAGCACAACGACAGGCTTCTGAAAAGCAGAACACAACATTTTCAAACTGCATCTGTGTGCTGAATACTTGCAAGTACTTGTAATATTTGAAGCATAAGGGTGGCCCTGTGTTAAAGGCCTGTTTCTGCACATCCTGCCAGACACTGTTGCTTTTACCCAGTAAAGTTCATCTTTCATCACTTTCTGCTGTCAGTAGCCTCACATAAATTAAGTGTGGTATTTCCTACTCTGTGCAAGGCAAAACTTCAGCTACAGAGCTATTAACTGAGTTTCAATGTCAAGTCTTCATCATTGCTGATGTGTGTTTCTTAGCTAAGAAACAATCTCATGGGATAGATTAAGTGTTGGCTATTTCAGGAACTGAAAGTTGTTGAGAAGAACAGTACTTTAAAGTGAAGTAAATTTAGCTTGAAAACCACTGAAGTAGTAAGTAAATGAACCCTCAAAATCGTACGAGGGATGTGAGGAGGAAGGAGAAAGAACTAAAATATTCTATAATGACAATTTTTAATGCATTCTAGGAAGCTATAATGGTGCTCCATAGCTTCCTAAATCCAGTATTATTTCTAATAAGCTGTTTAAAGTAAGTAGAGAACTGTGTCATTATTTGATGGAAACATAATTTGTACTACAGAGCTTTCAGAATCATGTTCTTAGGTCATCCTGATTCTGAAAAACTGTACCAAAAGAGATGAGAGCATCAGGAAGCTCTTACTTGACCTGCACACCTGATCAGCAAAGCTAAAGCATCCCTTTTGGTACTTAAACAAGTGGAACTGTGTGGTGTTCTCCCTTTTATTTACACAAGATGTAAATATGACCCACCATGATGGGTGCAGAGGGATTCAGACACCCTGCTAACACCCTCCTCTTCTGGGGCTGAAATAGGAATACAAATATCTGCTCTTTACCCCATTCAGAGAGCTGATTCCTCACAGATACTGAAACAAGAGCGTGGCTGTTTACTGGATCTGTCTCTCAGATTATGCAGTGCTCATTATCTCCCTCCTCCTTCATTTATGGTGTGGCAAATCCTGCTGCAGTTTCAGGTATTCCTGCCCTCACACTGCTTTATCACACTGCAGAGGGTTCTGCTCCTGTCGTGGCATCAAGAGAACATCCATGCCCTGGTGTTGGCCATCTCCGTTCACAGCCTTGTGCAACAGCTGAAGCTACCAGGGATAGAGAAATTAAAAAGGTATCTCTGCTTTGAAAGGCTTTGGGATTTTCTGGTGGGACAATTGTCCCTGGAAAAGGGCTGGTTAAGAGCAAATGAAGTGGTCATGTCTCATATTGCAGTATTTCTCGTGCCAGCCCTCATTCTTTATTTACAAAAAGGAAGGTTTCAACTTAAGCTGTTTATATTCTTCTTCAATGAATGAACATAGAGCTATCTTAATCAGATGTGCATTTTGAGACCCTAATCCCTCTGCTTGAGGCACATTTGTTTATACTGAAATCCTTTTCCTTATGTAAATTTTGGGCATTTTAGATTTGTTGATTTTATTTTTGTAATATGAGACAAAGAAAATCACTAAGACTACAGAGGCACCCAATCAAAATATTTCTAAATTTGTACCTGTACAAAGAATGAGGAATAAAATGCTATATTTAATATATTTTGAATATAAACTGTAGGCTTTTAAGCACCCTGTCCAGTCCCTGCAGCTGAGCCAGGGTCTGTGATACTAATTGAACACTTGGCGTTAAATTATCTGTGGCACATAGAGAACATTGATTTGGGAAGCCCACATGAGATAATATCATGAGCTGTTTCATGACTGGACAGAGTTTATAATTTAACCTCTTAAGAGTACAAAGAGGCCTCCACGAGGTTTAAGGTTCCTGCTCAGTGGAAACTGCTTTTGCTTGCTCAGCTTTCACTCCTTGGGCAGCTGTGCCACCTCAGTGCAGCTGGACGTGTTTCAGGGCCTCTCTCAGCTTGTTTATGTGCTGATCACAGATTATGTGCTGGAAAGGTCACAGCTAAAGCTAGTTTCAGCTCCCAAGAGTTTAAGTACATTTAACATAAGGAGTTTACAGCCTGGAAGAGAGACCTGTCCCATGAATGAACTGCAGCCCTAGAACCTCCCCACATGTGGCTCTGGCTGAATTAGAACATCCAGCTCTTTGTAGCTTTACAGGACACAGTGGAAGGCTGTATTTTACGTGGCTGGAGAAGTATGGATTTTACAAGGTGGCAAAACTGAGCTTGCTGCATTTCTTGGCCACTCTTTCTGCAGCATTTCAGAATGGCACATCTTCATCTCAGTGTCTGGAAAGGTCATCAGAGCTGAAAAAAGGTGATGCAGATCTTTAGAGAACACTGGATGCTCCAAGTAGGGAAGGAATATTGTGTGATCGAAACCTGAAGTCAAATGAACTTGAAGAACTCCTGCAATGTTTTTGTCTAAAGAGTATATGAAAATTATATTGAGACTATTCAGGGTTTCATTTTCCTCTGTTGCTATGTCTGTTTCAACAGAGGTTGTTAATCACAGTGTAGCTTTTCTGCAGGAAACCACAGTAAAGCAACTGTGTGTTCAGTCTGGTTATTTGAGACTTTGTTCTTGGATATCTTCTATTCATCTTTTGATGAATTGAAAGCATTGAAACATGAAAGAAATAATTTCTGCTAATTTGCTAAAGGAGTATTGCTGCAACATCAGGAGCTACTCTCAAAGATCTGTTTAGGCAAAATAGTTTTATAATTCTAGCTTGAAAAATCCTGGTGAGGAAACCATTGTCTGATAGCAAAGGGAGGAAAACAAACAGTTCCCCAGCTAAGAACCTGGAACAACCTCCTTCCTTCTGCCCACTGGAGCAGAAGAGGTAGAAGGGAGCAGAGTTCTTCTAGAATTGGAAAGCAAGATATTAATGAGAACAAATCTGATGCCAAATTCTCAATACTTAGAGGGCCATCACTTTTCTTTAGAGCTCATCCAGGGTCAGAATTTTAAATCTAACTCTTCTTTATTTTCATCTTGTAGAAGATGACTTTTTATTCTGTTTTTAGGAATGAAGTAGTTGGGTTCTAGTCAAATGTAGCACTTTGAGGCAGTGATTGTCTACCGAAGTCTTAAAATATTTTGAATTATTTGATATTTTTAATTTAATGGAAAATGTTAAGTTTCAGTGTGGGTTGCTGTGAGGCTACCAAGCAATCCCATTACAGTTATTAATTCTGCCTTGCTTTTGCCTTGAGAAATGCCCAGTTTGTTGTGTTGGGGTTTTTTTTCCCCCCCAAAGAACTGTGCTAATTGTAATTGCAGATGTCTCTGCTGAGCGGATAAGTGCAGATAACTGTGTTGAGCAGGCAGTAAGAAGAACAAACCAGTCAAAACACAGTAGACAGCAATCTGTGGTGGCAGTGAAAGCACCAATCATTTTGCTGACTGGAAAAGCATTGTGATGAAGCTGTATCAAGGGCAGGACTTGCATTGCTGGTTACAGGTAATGTCTTTAATTGCTGTTCTTTGGGGGGGAAATGGGGCCAGCAGCAGCCTCTGGGTCTCTATTCTTCACTGGCTCATTACCTACAGCCCCAAACCACAGTGTGAGGGTGGCATTTTTGGCTTTCCTGGGACACCAGCTGCACTGACCTTGGGCACCTGCTGTCTTGAAAGGCACCAGAGCATGGCACGAACAAAACTGACTCCATGAATTTCTTCACTCTGCTAATTCAGTTTCCATTAGGCAACTAATTGAACAAGCTTTGAGTTTCCAAGAGCCTATAGTTATGGCAATGTTCTCTTATTAGCCAAGTGATCTTTAGGATTAAATATTCACAAAGGTAGAATTGGTTTCCACAGTTTGTTTTGGCAGTGGCTTGACCTGAAAATCTTTGCATGGAAGGGAGGAAATATGTGCCACGGGGGTCTTGCAGAGTGTGACTCCAAACACTTGACTTTCTTCTTGTCTGAGTTTTCTTATACTTATTTCTGAGTCACCACTGAAGGAATCTGAGCTTTTCCTACAGAAACAGCACCAGTGAAATCTCAGCAAGCTTAAAGGAATCCCAGATATATCTGATATATCTCTGTTCTACTTGGTGAGAACAGCTTCCCATGCTTGATGCCCTAAAGATAATTTTTCAAATTCTCCTTCTGTGACAGAATAAACAGGTTGTATACAATTAGCAGATTTAATGCCAGAAGCACTGGAACACCTGCTTTGGCTTTCAAAAGTTAAAAGGAGAAATTTCAGTCAGTGCATGTTGTTCCTGTCTCAGCTTTTCAAGCTCCATTACTTGTGTTGGGAGTGCTTTTGTGTGCAACCCCAGCCAAGCAAACTGCTGCTTCTGCTCTGCAGAGAGGCACCTTTGTGGCCTTTACACAGCAACACTCTGCATGCCCAGCACCTCAGTGTGGAAACCAGAAAAATTAGCAAATACTAGAGGCCATATCTGCTTCATGATTAATTTAATTGCACATAAATTGCATTTACCCACGGAGAGTTTAACATTTATGGGGCTGTTCCAACTGTATGAAAAACAAGGCAAGGGTTGACACATCTGCCTTGCAGACCGTGGATGATGACAGTGGCATTCTGGTGTGCCTGCAGGAACTCTCACTTAGCAGATGTCATTGTCACCGATTCTGGTGACAATGTTGACAAGCCGTGGCTGCTGCAAGACAGTGCTGAGCCTCCAGACACAGGAAGGGCTAGGCTGGGGTAGAGGACTTGGGTTAGCACCTCTTTGTGCTTGGGGGCGTGTGTTTGAGAGACTTTTAAAACAGTGTTTAGAAAACTGTGTGCAGGAGGGTGGTTTACTTTTCTGTTTCAGATACTTGAGTGGCTTTGATTTCCATTCCCTGCAATGAGTCAGATAACTAAACTCCCAGTTCCAAGTAATGTAATTAAATATGGAAAATGGAGAATCTCCAGACTCAGGAGTGTAACAACACATGGAAACAAAATCCCTCAGAAATGGGATGGGATAAATCCTCTCCCCAAGTTACTCTGTGGCAGACTCTGCAAGAGCCCTGTGTGCACTTGGAGTTGTGCCCTGGCCCATGACCTCACTGTTACAGTATTGGGCACCCTGAGCAGGAGGAAATACCCAACTCTGTTTCAAGGGAAAAGCACATTAAGTGCTCTCTTAACTTTTTCAACCTTTCTTTTATACTCTCATATAATGAAAAGGCCTTTTATTTTTCACTCTGATCACAAAAAGTCTTCCTTATTTCATTAATTAATACTGTCCCTCAGTAATTCTCAAAATGAGAGCTGAGACCCTTTATCCCATGTCTCAAGTTCCCTTTTCCTCCTCAGTGAATCTCCATGAACTGCAAGGCAAACATTATCTTGAAGAAACAACATCTCAATGAAACAAATACATTTTCAGCTGATTTTTAAATTAGAAATTGAGAAAGGAAGACAGGTGATGGCTCTTTTGAGGCCTGCCTGGGATGCTTCTGCATCCTCCTCTCCCGCTGACCTGCAGCCAGGCCTCAGATATCAGGACAAGTTCTGAGTGTACTTCAAGTGCTCACAGTGTAGAACAAGTTTTTATTGATTTAAGTAATGTATACAACCCTCTTTCCTTCAAGGATTGCCCATAGGAGAAAAAGTTTATATGAAAGGCCAAAACAGTTGCAGCAGAGATGCACAATTTGGTGCTGAATGTACATAGGGAGTTCCTCAATGAAAATATAACTAACAGGCACCAATATTCATTTATCCTGGTTCAAACACAGACACAGCACCCTGCACACCTTTTCTCATGATTAAAACTGCAAATCCATTTTCATGGGTTGTGAGCCAAATGATTTCAGTCATTTCTGTGAGTCCTGCTGGCAGGATGTGGGAGCAGTGCAGAAACCCACACATCATGTGCTTGAGGACTGCTACAGCTTTCTTACAAATAGGGGTTCCCGGTGGAAAAGGGAATTTAAGCATTAAATTCGACACAGAAGAAGTCTGGATTGAATTTTTCTCCTCAGCTTTTTCAGTTGTGCCTTTCTTTTTGTCCACTGTTCTGTCTTTCTGATGTATTTTCAACAGTCTCTCTAACAACACTGTAACATAAAAGCCTTTGTATTTTAATCATATTTTCAAACTGCAATGTTTAGATGAGATTTCTATTCTACAGGAATAATTTTCCCAGTCCTGTCCAATATTCCTCTTTATGAAAGCAAGCACTAACCCAGTTAAGTTTTAAACAGAAAAGTAAAATGGTTTCTTTTTTTTCTTTCCCCCCACCCCATGGTTTAGATTACAGTTGAGGTTGCATTGCCCAATTGCCTTTATGGTATTGTGTACATTTAAAAAAAAATATCTTAATGTAGTATCTATGTGCAAACATGCCTAGACTACTAATTGTTATCAGCTGTTGATAAAAAAAGATTCCTTCAGTACCACAGCAAGACCTAAAGAATGCACAGGAATAAAACCAGCACAGAGCACACAGTTCCCCTTTGTGCTTGGTACTCTGCCTTGTACAAGACCTAACTCCTGAACTGATTATAAATGTTCTTTATATATAAATATTACTTTGCTCAGCTACAGGAATGACCACACTTACTATTGCTGTTTATTTTTGTTAGCTGTTTCTGAAAGTTAAAAAACAAACAAATTAAAGACAGACAAAACCAAAGAAATATCCTGACCTTAGGAACCTTCAGGTGGTGTAGGAGAGGGAGAAGAGCAGAGTTGAGGTTTATGAAATTGTTCCATTAAAACTTGCTGGTTTTGTTTTCACTCTTAAACTCTAGAGCATCTTCACAAATGTAAACCAAATGACCGAAACAAAACTGCTGATAAAGAAATCAGTGTCTTTAGCACGATCTGTGTAATGTTCTAGTAACATATGCTCAGGAGCCTTTCTGTTCTCTGTCAATTGTTGATATATTATTTGGTAAAACTTAACATGAGCTTCTGATTACTGCTTAATGTTGCAATATATTGGGCCAAACATTTGCTACTGACAGTCAAATACTTTTCTGAGAGAGAGAAAGAGAGCAGAGGAGATAGTGAGAGCTCAAGGGTGAGAGCTATGCCCTTCTAGCAAGACTGTTTCTGCAGCTGTTGTGTACATTAATCCAGAGAGCAGATCTCCCTGCACTAAATATAGCCACAGGGGTCATTTTACATGACAGAATAAATAATTAAATAAATAGAAAGCATTTAACTATGGGGGGGGGGGTCGTCACATTAAATTAGGTTTGATTTTGCTTAAGAAGGAATTCCAAATTACGGCATCTTGGTTTAAGGCTGAATACATGAATGTAAATATTCCACTCCTCCATTATTTCATGAAGGGAAGATGAGCAGGAAGAGGGAAGAATCCCAGCAAGGAACTTTTCAGGTCATTAGAATCTTGTTGACTCTTTAGAGGAGTCAGAGTGGCTCCGAGGGATTTTGAGAACCCCACCAATGCTATTCAGGTCCTTTATAATTCCGCAGAACACCGTTTCTCTTTCACTGCAATGCACGTACCTCAGCACAATCTAAGTCAGTTTAAAAGGTATCTGTTCCCTGTATACGCCTTAGCAGCTAAAATTAGCATTCAAATATATATCTTATCAAACCCTTCTGCTACACTCTGCAAAATCAAAATGTAGACCAATCTGAAATTGAGGGATTACCTTTTTTTAATTCCTCCAGCTGCTGCTGCTGCCCAGCCCTGGCAGTGAGTAGCGCTGACAGTTATCCAGAAGTGTGAGATTAAAGTTAAGGAAGCGAGGGGATCCTCCGAGTCCTCAGGAACAGAAACAGCTAGGAGGAGTCCATAAAGAGTGAAGGAAGTTAACCTTGGTTATTGTGAGGATGGCTGGAAGGAGCTGGACAACCTGTCACCACCGGAGCAATAGCATTTGTCAGTTTGCAGGTCCCAAGTTATTTTGAGCAGCGTAAACCATGTGCCCGCGGAGCATTCCACCTCATTGGACAGGGAATCCGCTGCTCCCACAGCACCTATGGGCACAAATGCCTGCTCCTGGCTCGTGCAACAGCCCCTATAGATGCATATGTGGGTTTTGCTGATTCATCCAAGAGGCTCTGTGGTGGCATTGTATCGCTCTTGGCAGCTGCTTTAGGCTTCAGCCTTTTCAAATTACTAGTGATCGCTCTTTCGTTAAGTTTCCATCAGAACTCCAAGGTTACAGTCGCAGGGAAAACCATCAGCTGGTAACAACATAAAAGTTTTGCGGCTCCAAAGGCAAACTCTGCAAATGTGTGATTTAAATAATAAAATATTCCTGACTTCATCAGAGTGTTCTGTTTAATAAACAGAGTGAAAGAGTGCGGAAATCCTTCAGGATGACCCGAAAATACAGATGCTCAAAAAGCTAGAACGTCTAAATTTGTTACGGAATGCACAGAAATGAACTGTTGGAGGAAAAGCAATTAAAAGAGGCAATCAAAACTAAGCAGTAAATAAAACTGAGAGAGAAACACAGGTGGAATAACTTTGACACACTCGAACCAGTACACAGAGAAACCTTGTTACTATATAGAATTTCATTGCTTTAAACCTTGACTGGCTAAAACCTGCCACATCACTTGGTAAAGACAGAGATGAAATTTTCATTTCTACTCTTCCTACACAAAAAGTGGTCTGTCATTTTAGACAGTTTGTCACCCTGCTGGATTGTTGATATTTTATTAAAAATGCTTGTCACAATTCTGAGTTTAAAAGATTACTAAAATATTATGCATTTATGATGGGGAATTGATATATAAGCCTTTTCATAGCTAATGATGTAAGAGCTGGCTTCTTGACCTTCTCCCAAATCTCTCAGAACATTATCAAGCGAGCACCTGTGCTAGAAAAGGTGTTCATCTGTGGAATGGAGCTCTTCAGAAAGTTATTTTATGAGTCATAACAGTACGAAAATCAGAGAGGAAGGCAATTCTTGCATGTAAAATTTCCTGAAGCATTGTAGATACTTTTCTATTATTTCTCTCTCTTTTTGTAAACTATTGTCGTGGTTTAACCCCAGCTGGTAACAAAGCCCCACTCAGCTGCTCACTCCCAACCCCTGGCGGGATGGGGGAGAGAATCAGAAGAGAGAAAGTGAGGAAACTTACAGACTCAGATAAAGGCAGTTTAATAAATAAAACAAAAGTTGTGCACACAAGCAGATAAAAGCAAGGGTTTCCCATAGAATCATAGAGTAAGCTGAGTTGGAAAGGATCCTTAACGATCATCAAGTCCAACTCCTGGTCCTGTACAGAACCTTCCCCAAGAGTGCCTGAGAGCATTGTCTAAACGCTTCTTGAGGTCTGTCAGGCTTGGGGCTCTGGCCACTCCCCTGGGGATCCTGTTCCAGTCCCCAGCCACCTTCTGCTTCAAAAGCCTTTTTCTAAAACTCATCCTAAACTGCCCCTGGCACAGCTTCAGGCTGTTTGTCCAGGTCCTGTCACTGGTCACCACAGAGGAGAGATGGTTGCCCTGTGCCAGCTTCAGAATCCAGCACTTTCTCCTGCTGAACTTCATATGTTTGATGATTACCCAGTCCTCCAATCTGTCGAGGTCTCTCTGCAAGGCCTCCCTGCCTCCAGCAGAGTCAGCAGCTCCTCCCAGCTTTGTATCATCTGTAAATTTGCTCGGTATCCCTTCCAGTCCTGCATCCAAGTCATTTATGAAGATATTGAAGAACACAGGGCTGAGGATGGAGCCCCACTTGTGACAGGTCACCAGTCTGATGTCTGTCAGTGACCCCATTGACCGTCACCCCATGCACCTGACCCGTGAGCCGGTTGTTCTCCCATCCCATAACGTGTTTGTGGGATGGACATTTTGTCCAGAAGGATCCTGGGAGAGACAGCATCAAAATTTCAGATTTACTGAAATGCAGAAAGATGGCATCGACAGGCTTCCCTTGACCAGCTTGGTGGGCTACCTTGTCATAAAAGGTTTGATAAGCAGGACTTCTCTCTCACAAAGCTGTGCTGGCTGTGACCAACAACTGCATTCTTTCAGGTGTTTTTCAATGCCTCCCAGAATAATCTTCTCCATAGCACTGCCAGGCACTGACAGCTTTCGTTTCCAGGGTCCTCTTTCTCTCCCTTCTTGAAAACTGGGACAACATTTGCCAGCTTCCAGTTAGTTGGGATTCCCAGCATTGCTCAGAAATCACAGAGAGAGGCTTTGCAATGACATCATCTGTTCTTTGTGGATTCTTGGATGAATCCCATCAGGCCCCATGGATTTGTAGGGATCCAACTGGAGCAGCAGATCCTGCACAGTTTCAGGGTCAGCTGGGAATTGAGCATTCCCTCAGCCATGGTCCTCCAGCTCACGGCATTGAGACCCCCTTGGTCCGTCACCCGTGTTGCAAAGAATGTGTTAAACAGCTCTGCCTTGTCCATGTCCCTGTTTGTGAGGTGACCATCCTCATCCTGGAACGGGCTGGTGTTATTTCTACACTGCCTCTTGCCATTATTCTATTTGAAAAAACCCCTTTTCATTGTCTCCTACAGTTCTGTCAGCTTCAACTCTAGTTGAGCTTTGGCCTTGTGAATTTTACCCCTACAGTGGCAAGCAACATATCTGTATTCTTCCCGTGTCTCCTGGCCTTGCTTCCACTGGGCATGCACCTTCCTGTTTTGCCTTATTTCCAGGAGATAATTCCTGTTCTGCCTCACCAGCCTGACTTCCAACATTTGGGAGTCATTGTGCACTTGGGAAGTGATCTTTAAAAACCATGACCAGCACTGATGGACCCCAGCACCTGCAAAAATATATTCCCAGGGGACCTTGCTGACTAATTCCCTGAACTGCCTGAAGTCTGCTCTCCTCATGCCTAGGGTTGAAATTCTGCTGGCACTTTTCCTCCTGTCAACACAGATTTTAAGCTCGATCACTTCATGGTTACTGTGGCCAAGACAGCCCCAATCCCCACTTTGCTCACAAGATCCTCCCTGTTGACAAGCAGCAGGTCAAAGAGGGCATCTTCCTGAGTCGGCTTCCTCAGGACCTGTTCCATAGAGTTGTCATCTGGGATTTTTAGGAATTTTCCAGCGTGGGTTGTACCAGTTAATTTCTGGCAGAGAGTAGAAATCCCCCATGAGGACACAGAGAGTTGACTTGGAAGCATCCCATAGATGCTCAAAGGAAAATTTGTCAGTGTCATTGTCCTGCATAGGAGGTTGGTAGAAGGCTCCCACGATGACATCCCTGTTACTCGGTTTGCTCCTCGATTTTATCCAGAGGCTCTCAACTGTGTCCTTCCCATCTGTGAGCTCCATACATCCGAGCCCTTCTATTCCATGCAGCGCCTCCTCTCTGCCTCTTCTGCCCTGCCTCTCCCACCTGAAGAGCCTGTGAGCATCCAGCAGGGAATTCCAGGCACAGGACTCATCACTCCAGGTTTCACTCATACAATGATGTCAGACTCCAGGACTGGGCCAAAGCCAGGAGCTGCTCTTGTTTGTCCCTGCTACTGTGTGCATTAGAAACGTTTGAGGTGTGGTACTTTGTAGCCAGCACCTTGTGAGGCAGATTGAGGGATCTGTAAGCGATCATTTCGAGTTTTGGCACAGCATCCCATCCCTTGGCACTGGTGAGCCTGGTTATGTCCCTTTCCCTCTTCCAAGCTGGTTTAAAGCTCTGTCAATGAGCCTGCTAGCCCCTGTGCTAGAGCTCCTTTTCCACCCTGAGACTGGTGCACCGAGTCAGGTGTCAGAGCAGAGCAGCTGTTGAGTACATCTTCCCATGGTCAACAACCCCCACATTTTTCCACTGAGACCAACCTCAGAGCCATGCATTGGCCTGATGGATCTGCCTATTCCTATTTCATTCCCTACTTCCCATGGTTGGGCAGGTGTTCATCCATCCCCAGGAGAGCAGGGCCCATCCCACGTAATGGTGACATGGGAAGACAAAACTCCATGACTCTGAGTGTCCCTGGAATGTCCCTCTCCTGCCCCGGCTCTGTGTGCTGGGCACCACTCCACAGGCTCTGGGACATCCCTTGGGTCACTTGGGCTCAGTGTCCTGGCTGTGTCCCCTCCCAGCCCCTCGCTGCTGGGCTGGGGCCAGGGCCAGAGGAACAAGACATCCCTGTGTCACCAGCACTGCTGCCAGCACACAGCCAGAGCAACAGCTACCATGGGGAAAAACGTGACTCTACCCCAGCAAAAACCAGCACAAATACCACTGACAGAACACCCCATGAGCATGAGCTTGTGGTGAAGATATGGGAAGCTTGTGCAGTGAAGTCAGCCCTTCTTTTGGGCACAGGTGAGGCATTTTCTGGGTTGGGTGATGTCTGATGTAACTTTATACCTGGAACAGAGATCTAAGATATTCTTTATAGTATCTGTAACAGTAGATGTGAGCCATACAGTGCTGGCAGGAGCTGCCTGTTGATACTGTACCCTGTGCTGCTGTGGTTTGGACAGCGTCTGTAGATGTTTAGGCTACAAAATCTGCAGCCTGAAAACAAAGCCTGATGTACTAATTGTAAACCTACAAGGAATTCTGCTGAGATGCAATTATTACCATGGAGTCTTGCTGTTTGTGTGCTGTTTGTGCATGATAAGCAACATTATTCAAGCTGATGAAAAAAAATGCAAAACGTTTCCACTTTTAAGACAGAGTTTAAGATTCTAGAATTGCAAAATTGAATAATCTGAGTGACAGATAAGCTCAGGGTTATGCAGAAAGTACAGCATTGAGAAACCACAAAAAGTTATGAGGCTTTACTGTGGCAGACAGACCGTTGAAATAGCAGATGGTGTACAAGGCCAAAAATTTCAGGAACACAAAA